ATATATACACATATATATAAATATATATATATACATATATATAATATATATATACATATTATATATATATATATATATATATATAGATATATATATATATATATATATATATATATATTATATATATATATATATATATATATATATATATATATATTATATATATACACATATATATATACAGATTATATATATATATATATATATATATATATATATATATATATATATATAATATATATATACACATATATATATACATATACATATTACCATGTAAGTCAATTGACAGTAGGAACATCATAGAATCTAGCCTTATTAAACATACCGAAGCATTCAACATGAATTTGAGTAACGGCATGTACAAGCTGGACAATTTTGTAATTAAGAAGATTTGTGATCAGGTGAGAAGGCCGGGTCACTTGACCATCTGACCTGACCACCAACCGTTGTGTGCTATTTAAAGATTAGTAGGGTCATTACCTAATACCTGACCATTGTGGACCTGGTCTCACCCTCCTCTGTATATATACACCTTGATTTGTATTACTCTCTCTAGTCTGTACTCACCCCTGAAGATGTGAATTACACGAAAGCGCTTGGGAACTTCGTGTTTTCTTCTTTCCTTGTGGTTATCAGCATATACCTAGATCACGCGCACCTACAGTGATTTACTTGCATATACATATATATACGACCGTCAGTTCATCACATTCTGTCTGTGCCTCAGTGTTCTGCCATTTCAAGACGTCGCTCGAGTGTGGAGTTGAATGGACGCTTCCCTACCCTGATTGTGCATCACCGTGTTCCAGAACCTTCCCCCCCAGGGCCACTGCCGTAGGAAATATTTGTTCATGGTTTGACTCCCCTTTATTGTTCGATTCTATCAATTGTTGACTCCATTTAATTGTTTGAATCCATTAATTGCAGACTCCCATTATTTGTTTGATTCCTTTAATTGTTTGCTTCCTTTAATTGTTTGACGCCATTAACTGTTGACTGCCTTATTTGTTTGACTCCCGTAATTATTTGAGGTTTGTCGAGTGGTGTCAGAGTTTTGTGTAATATTTTTTATAGTAAAGAGATGCCAATCTCAAACGGTTGTTTGTTATTCCTCAGAAAACCATGGTCCTTGACTTTCCTTTATTTAGATCCTGATTAGCCTGGTAAGGGATTTCTATCCCGAAGTCCCAGGTCTTTACAATTAATAAAGCCTCCAACTGCTCAACTCTAGTATCCATTATGTACTTTTATTGAACATGTGATGAATTCCCAATAAATCAGTCGAAATTATGTGTCTAAAACCTTATTGAGACGTAATATGTAAATTAATGGACTATCAGTATAAAATAATGACACTGTTAATAATAATAAAAGAACGATCGTTTTCAATATTCTAAAACTGTTGTTGGGTATGGGATGTTTGGTTCACACTCAGGATGGGATGGAGAAAGGAAACTCACAATGTGCTCTCTCTATACATGTTGTATTGGATGTACAATGCTGCTTGGTGCTGGGAAGGCAGCATGGTTACAAGCGTTGAGTAGAGAGAGCTGGTTGGTGAGGATGCTCAGAGGAGGACAGCTTGTGGGTCGCCATGCTTTCCGGCGGGAGCGAGGACCGCCAGGCAGCGGCGGAGGAGGAGGTGTAGCTTGCTGCAGCTGAAGCTAGAAGAAGAGAGAACTGGTTGGTGAGGATGCTCAGGGGAGGACAGCTTGTGGGTCGCCATGCTCGCCGACGGGAGCGAGGACCGCCAGGCAGGCGGAGGTGGAGGAGGTGTTGCTGGCTGGTTGGTGTAGGTAGAAAGAAGAGAGTTCACCACGAGGTTAGGTCTTAAAAAGCGGGGGGTAGGCGTGGCTTAGTAGTTGACCCCCGCTCCGTGGGCGGCGCTGGTTGACCTAGACCACGAGGCACACACTGTGGAATTCGTGGGGTCGGCTACTCAGCGACAAACAGCGTTTGTAGGGGAGAAATCCACTACAATACTCCCTCCTTCCCTCAAGGCAGTGTAGGAGACTTGTTGTCTGCAGGGTTGCATGGCACATGTGAGGCAGAACGGGCGGTGCATGCCTCAAGTGAGACAACGGCAATGGCGTGGATGAGCCAGCCGCTAGAGACAACTGTCTAGACACACGCAAGATCTGTGGGAGAAAGAGGGTTGTGGAGGCGATGAATATTGTGCTTCACTCGCGACAGGTACAGAGTCGTCAGATGCGCCTGCTGGGGTGTGTGGGTCAGGAGCAGGGGCTGCGTCAGCAGAAGCGGATGAGGGCTGGTGACAGCACCTGGGTCCACGACAGCAGCAGGGTGCAGGACAGTAGCAGGGAGTACCTGAGGGAGAAAAGAGCGGTGTGTGGGTCCGCGCATGGGCTGCATCAGGAGAAGCGGCAGGGGGTACTGCTGGGCGGGGGGCGGCGTCTGATGCAGGACGGGTGTGTTGGTCCGCACTCAGGCGCATGGGCCGCGTCGGGAGCAGGAATAGGAGCGGCTGTCTGCTTAGAGTAGCAGAGATGCTCTAGTGTGTCTAACCTGCGGTTTTGAGACAGTAGCTGTAGAGCCGATGAGAGCTGCTTGTGGGTGGATAAGCCAGTCGTCCATGTTGCTTGAAGACTGGGAGAGTGATCAGTTTCTCCTCCATCCTGTGTGAGTGCGAATCAACGGGGGTCACCATTTGTGGGGTATGGGTTGGTTGCAAGCATTGAGTAGAGAGATCTGGTTGGTGAGGGTGCTCAGAGGAGGACAGCTTGTGGGTCGCCATGCTCGCCGGTGGGAGCGAGGACCGCCAGGCAGGAGGAGGAGCTGTTGCTGGCTGGTTGGTGTAGGTAGAAAGAAGAGAGTTCACCACGAGGTCAGGCTCTTAAATAGCGGGGGGTAGGCGTGGCTTAGTAGTTGACCCCCGCTCCGTGGGCGGCGCTGGTTGACCTAGACCACGAGGCACACTGTGGAATTCGTGGGGTCGGCTACTCAGCGACAAACAGCGTTTGTAGGGGAGAAATCCACTACACTGTACTACTAAAAGCTGTTATTAAATAAAACACATTATATACACAATAAAACTCTAGTTAAAGAATCAATACAACTGCCCGAGAGGCTAGTAAGCTGATAAGGGCTAAAATTATAAAACAAAAAATATATACAAATAGGAGTATAGGATGAATTTAATTTTACCAAAGCTATTTTAACCAAGGAGGTTTATATTAAACTTATATTAAACCTCCATGATTTTTAACTATTTAAGGTCATCATAGAAAACGTATTGTTGTCTAGAGAACGAGCTTGTCTTCAGCGAAGACTCCTGTCATAAGCCATGTACATTTTTATTTTTAGCATCCATTGCATAAATATACATGATTATATTTTTGCCCAGCTCGTACCGATGATTTACGGATTATGGTTTATATATAGACAGAAATAAGACCATTGTTTGCTTCTATATTTAAATTATTCACGAACAATGATGTTCCTTAAATAAAAAGAAGAGGCAATACTGTGGGGTTCAAGGATGTTTGATTATCACTCAGGATGGGTTGGAGAAAGGAAACTCACAATGTGCTCTCTATATACATGTTGTATTGGATGTACAATGCAGCTTGGTGCTGGGAAGGCAGCATGGTTACAAGCGTGATGTAGAGAGAGCTGGTTGGTGAGGACGCTCAGAGAAGGACAGCTTGTGGGTCGCCATGCTCGCCGGCGGGAGAGAGGACCGCCAGGCAGGCGGAGGAGGAGCGAGGGCCGCCAGGCAGCGGCGGAGGAGGAGGTGTTGCTGGCTGCGGCTGTAGGTAGAAAGAGGCAGGTCACCACGAGGTCAGGTCTTAAATAGCGGGGTTAGGCGTGGGTTAGTAGTTGGCCCCCGCTCCGTGATGTATATGCCGGCGCTGGTTGACCCAGACCACGAGGCATACACCGGGGAATTGGTGGGGTCGACTACTCAGCGGCAAACAGCGTTTGTAGGGGAGAATTCCACTACAATACCATGTTGTACAGTACATGAAATATCATAAATAAGGGACTTAGGTAATAGGTAAATATAAGTAAGAAAACATCAAAAGCCAGGGGGCAGGTAAACCTAATCTTCATGATATTGTAGTGGATTCCTCCCCTACAAACGCTTGTCGCCGAGTAGCCGACCCCGTGAATTCCTCAGTGTATGCCTCGTGGTCTAGATCAACCAGCGCCGCCTTACATGACGGAGGTCAACTATTAAGCCACACCTACATCCGCTATATAAGACCTGACCTCGTGGTGACCTGTGTCTTTCTACCTACGCTAACCAGCAAGCAACACCACCTCCACCTCCTGCCTAGCGGCTCCGCTCTAGCCGGCGAGCATGGCGACCCACAAGCTGTCCTCCTCTGAGCACCCTCACCAACCAGCTCTCTCTACATCACGCTTGTAACCACGCTGCCACTTCCCAGCAACAAGCTGCACTGTACATCCAATACACTATGAAAACAGAGAGCACATTGTGAGTTTCCTTTCTCCATCCCATCCTGAGTGTGAACCCAAACATAGCGTACCCCACAATATCCACAAAAAGTAGAAAATAGTTTAAAAAGACTTAGTTTCAGCTTTCAGTCTTGAAAATATATATAATTCAGAGTGGATAAGGCAAAAATACATTACATATTTGAATGTTCTGATAAGAAACACACACACTCTAATTTACTTGTAATTTAAGACAGCATACAGATTTCTAATACTTTCTACTACGTTTGGGAGGTAAACTTTAAACTTTGTTATAGTTGACAACTGCAATCAAGCTGGTTGGAAAGTAACGTGAAACCAGAAAAAAAGGGAAAACATTTATTTTATTTGTTTTTTGTTGTAAATAAAGGGAAATACTGTATACCCATGCCATTTGGTTTGTTGTGAAAGAGACATATGCATTACAGTCCCAAGCAATAATATATTAGTATCCCAACTTGAAAAACAATGTAATCTAAACCTTCAACCCAGAATGCAGCAACTGTACCACGTAGGTATAAGTGCAGGCAGCTGTACATCAGTGATAAAATCAATTAAATTCCTATCTGGATGTGGTACACTTTTCGTATTTGGGTTCAGCTCACCAGAGAGGACGACTTGAAGTTTAGTTTAAGAATGGCGGAATTGTGTTTACTTTTATCCTCTACGAGTCTGCGCCACTAATCGGCTCGTTATCCTGAAGTTTAAAAGGACGCATTTTGTTATAAGGTAACAGATTTTAAAGTAAATTTGTTACTTTCGAGTTAATACATGAAATTCAAGGAGTTTTTCATTCACTGGTTTGATTTACTGAATAATAGAACAAATGACATAATATTTCTAACTTGTTATTGAATAAAGACAACTACGTAGTTATACAAGATATAATTAGTTTTATAAAAAAATAGGTAATATTTCAGACGGCTAACACCAGAAGGAGTTGTTTGATTACGTACATTTTTTACACACTTTTGTTCGTCTGTTCTGTTTGTGTAATTGTGTTAGGTGCAACAACAACTGAGCGACTTGATCCCAGCTTACTCTCACGTCCACAAAACATGCAAAATTACACCATGCCTCATCAAGATAGTTGTTTCCATTGGTAACAGATATCAAAGTTCTTTTTGCTTTATATGCAGAGCCCCTGGCTATGAATTTGGATATGGTTAGGTAGGTTTACTTGGTTAGGTCAGGTTCTATGCATCCTCCTTTCCATTTTTGTGTTCAGTATTTTGAAAAAAAGTACTTGCAGAAATGTTGATCATATTCACTATCCTTCATTTATTCCAGAAATTTTAGTTCAATTCCATAAGTTTTTTCTGGTGCAAACTGTCTCCTCCACCTGTACCTCTTAATTTCCACATGTTCCCTCTGCCTCCAAGTCCTGTCCACATTGGTAAGAAAGGTCATAGCTCGTTAATTAAGCCTTTCCCCAAACTGTCATTATCACCAATATATTCAGCAAGAAAAACTACTCTAGTAATATATTTAAAAAGATAATTATAATAATGGGTTTGTGCGGAATAAATACTTCCGTTTCCTTCAGTGTTTTATGAATGAATTTAAATGTCTAACGATATGAATGAATATACTGTAAATGGCGGAAGAGAAGTACTACTGAGAGGGATACACCCCATTTTGTCACCGACCCGGTTCGTCATCAAAACCTCATTTCGTTAACAATATCAAGTCCGTTTCGTCACCACTAACAGTTGCTGATATTAGTGACAAATTGTAAGTTATTATTTTACACGAATAGAAATTACACATGTGTACAGACAACTCGAGAAGTATTGTATTATTATTATACTGTACATGAATATTACCTGTAATTATTTAATAAAGAAAGCAATAAAACACTGGATATTAAGCAAAATACAGAACAAATGTAGATTTATTGTGTTATTACTATACCAGAATATTAATTGTTTAATATACCAGAATATTAATTGTTTAATAAAGAAAACGATTCAACAAATGACGGTGATCTGTGACCAGTGCATAAATCACCTAGCAGCGAGATGATTGCAGGCATATTAATAATGTTTCTATTTTTAATTTTCGTCTTTAATAAATTGTCTTAGTGTTTTTTTTTTTTTTTATACATTTTTTATCCCAAGCAAGTTATTTTCGTGTATATATTGATAGGAATGAATGCAGTGACGAAACGGGTTAAAAATAGTGGTGACGATATGGGCAGACCCCGTCTGAACAATGGTCAGGTTAGGTTAGTACAGAAACTGATTTTGAGATGAAACCTTGATTTTTCCAAAGGGTTTTGGTGTGATTCATTCGAATTTTATAATAATCTTTCACCAAAACTTGCTCGAATTCTCTTTATTTTTTCTTCTTCTTGAAAACAGAAAGTCCAAGCCAACTTTTGCCAAAACTTGGCACTTTGTCCACTTATATAGCATATCACTTGTTTTTGCTCTCCCCCGCCCAAACACCCTGATTTCCCATGAAACCCCCAAGTTTGTCAAACTCAAAAATTAGTCATTTGCACTAGAAATGAAGGTTAGAATCGTTGAAAACACATCAAAATTTTCATGTCCAATACCATTATGGGCAACTTGTAAAAATTTACCAAAAAGTTATTATTGCATTTGTTGCCAGCAACCGAATCTCGTGGTATTTTCTTTGCAAACAATAGGCTAATTCTGAGACCAGCCTGCACTACAGCACCTTGGCTACCCTGAAAGATTGGAGTGCCTGAACTTGCCTAGTTTATACTACAGACAGGCAAGGGAAGAGCTAATTGAGTTGTATAAGCATCTCAAAGGGCACTACTCAGTTGAGTGCCCTTACCTGGAGCTGGTGGATGATCGCCCCACAAGGGGTCACAGTTCAAGAAGCCGCAAGCCCAGAAAACTGTGAGGGGTAACTTTTTCGGAGTGAGAGTTGTGAACTCTTGGAACAATCTGCCAGAGAGTGTTGTGACGGCACCGAGTGTGAGCTCTTTCAAGACCAGACTTGACCAACACTGGAGCGGGTTCAGATACATTCAGGAGCCAGTGCATGCCCAGTACTTGCCAACAGTGCGTAATAGACTTGACCGATCTCCCGAGCGACTAACGAGCCGATCAGTGGTGAAGATGATAAAGGTAAAGCAATACCACCAGAAGTAGTTTGGGTAAATGTGTTAAAAATTGATTACCTCTAAATTAAACTTAACCTAACCTTAGTTGATAAGAAAACCAAGCGGCAGAAGCGTTGTTAGAAGACCACATCAGCCTAACCAAAGAAACCTATCTAACCTTACCTAACTTCCTAACTGTGGAGCTTTGTTCCCCAGCACAGTAACAGAAAAAACTTAATATGACATGGTGTAAGTTTATGTTTTTTTGTGGATATGGGAGAAGCCACCTGGACGGAGTGGCTAATAAGTATACGCAGAGGACAAAATCGAGTGTCGATTGGGGTGCCTTACTGATTTATCGCTGCGCAAGATGAAATAGTGCCACTAATGCGTGCCTAGGGGCCTATCTACTAAATGAAGCACATTTGCCCAAGAAATAAGTATCATATCAGAACTTGCTAATATATATATATATATATATATATATATATATATATATATATATATATATATATATATTATATATATATATATATATATATATATATATATATATATATATATATATATATATATATATATATATATATATATATATATATATATATATATATATATATATATATATATATATATATATATATATATATATATATATATATATATATATATATATATATATATATATTTTTTTTTTTTTATATATATATATATATATATATATATATATATATATATATATTTATTTTTCTCTGACCGACTTACGACGGGGTTAGGACCCAAATCCAGGTCGTAAGTCCGACATGGTCAAGTCCGATAAAAAAAAAATTTTTTTTTTTTTAAATCTACAATGAAATACAGTACAGTAAAAGTAATGAATAATGATGAATGGATACAGTACAGAAAGTAATAAATAATAAGGAATGGATACAGTGTGATTGAGCACTTAACCTTTAATGTAGTCAGCTGAATGCACATGGGCCCCCATAATTTTTAATTATACATGGAGACTACATTAACTGGAAACGTTTCGGTATAGAAAATGCGGTCATTTAATTTTTTATTTTTTATTTTTATTTTTTTTATCTATATCTGAGGCGGTCAGAAGTTGGATGGCAGGAAGGAGAAGGGAGGACCGAGGAGTGAGGGGATGGCTGTGCATGAATGAGAGAAAACTATGGTGATAAGTAACTTGTGTAAGGAAGGTCATACTGCTGATGGCTGATGCTGCCTTGGTAAATGACTAGGGTAAACCAGGTTGATATTTGGGGCCTCGTTGTAAAGAGGGGCTACCAAAGAAAGCCACATTTATTACACTGATACGAACGAATAAATAACAATGAACGAGAAGAACGTGGACTGTGGAGTTGCTATTGGGTTTGACTGACATGCCTTAAATAAAATAATATTCCAAACACATGTACAATACAATAAACCCCCACTCAGTCCAAGGCCCATACGCCGGTGGTCACAAGAGAAGAGAGACATCCTTTTTAATTTTGGGGAGAACCTTCCACATAAGATTATAATTTATCCTGAAAACGAACAATTGATTCTGAAGTCTTATTTTCTGAGGGAGTTGGAGTCAGGAGATTGTATTGTCAGGCAGTGTTTGTGTGGGGGAGAGTCAGGTGAGTGTATTGTCAGGCAGTGTGTGTGTGTCAGATGATTGTATTGTCAGGCAGTGTGTGGGATTGTCAGGTGAGTGTATTGTATATACAGTGACCTCGCTTAACTAACACCTCGGTTAACGAATTTATTAACGAACTGCCTCCATAAGGATCTTCAACAAGTTAACTAAAAAAAAATTCGCTTAACTAACTTTCTTTAATCCGACCTCAACATAGCTTGCACTGACCGGGCAACCAGCTTTAGTATCAGTCCGCCAATACACATTAATCGGTTCTAGGCTTAAACTTACTATTTTTGTAAATATCAAGAAGTTTATACTATTCAATAATTTTAAAAGTTTAATATTCAATTTTTAGTCATTTAACAATTATTGAACAAAATTGAAGGTAAAGTGACTAGTTTAATGGGCGCATCCAGCCTTAACACAGCAAACAGGCGTCAGTCTCTCTCTGTTTCACTGGAGGTAACATCTTGCTTGAGACTCTCTTCAACTAAACGCTTTTTTTCTGTGTTTCCAAGCAAATTATTGGTCATTTTGAAATATATTTTATATATTGACAATATATAAGTAGTGCATTGATTTAAAGAAAATAATCTTGAATTAAACCAGAGAGCTAAAATTTATGGGTGAATGGCACCATGGGGTGACTTCTCTTCCACCCCAATACCTTCTTCTTCCTTCCCTCCACCCCATTCTAAATCCCATCATCATCATCATCATCCAGGATTCTACATACACACACCTCAAAGTAAGTGAACTTTCTACCATTTTTGTTGAATTTAGGAAATTTTCGGTGAGCTGGAACCACTATCTAAAACCCATTGAAACAATGGTTTCGGTTAATCGACCTTTCAAGTTTAATCCACCTTCTGAACGGATTGAGTTCGTAACTGAGGCCACTGTATATATATATATATATATATATATATATATATATATATATATATATATATATATATATATATATATATATATATATATATATATGTATATATATATATATATATATATATATATATATATATATATATATATATATATATATATATATATATATATATATATATATATATATATATATATATATATATATATATATATATATATATATACACAGTATATATATTCTTATAATTTTATTATTTCCCTTTGTTAGGCTTGACGGACTTAAAAAATGTTCGCTGCCATCAAAGATGCTCTTGGTACAACACGTCTAGAAGGGACTGGACGTGGTGGTGGTGGCTGCATTAATGAGGGTGAAGTATTTAAGACTGACGCTGGAAAGATCTTTTTAAAAAAAAACTCGAAAAGCAAGGTAAGAAGCATTGTACAGTATGTTCTGTACAGTGAAAAGGAAATATCTTTTTGGGGTTTTGACAAATACAGTACACTGTATAAGCTTAAATAAATGTTTCTTGTTACTTTATCCCCTATTAGTAATAAATATGGCAGTTCATCCCCATTGAACACACACACACACAAGATGAAAATGGGCATAATAAAGTACAGGATTCAGAGAAAGGAGAAACACTGACACAGATCGTTTGTGTATTTGGCTTGAATGGTTCGACATCAAGAACAATAATCGGAGGTAAGGTAGGGGAAAAAATTAATTTTATTGTTTTTGTTTTGTTTTACTAATTGTATTACTGCACTACAGTATTGTTGTCTACTATTATTAATTGCATGTATACAAAATTTTAGCTTAATTAGGGGGTAGTAAGCTTTTGTAGACTGGCTTTAGAACATAACCTTAATATATAACATTGTATATATGGAACAGTCAATTTGTAGCCTGAGGACTTCTTGTATTGAAATTCAATGGCAATGGATGCATCTCAGTTTATCACCTAACAATTGTTTCTTCCAATATGTCACTTACTGTATATCAGACTAGTGCTAAAGCAGTGGCAGCACACAATTTCTAACTAAAATTTTTTAGCAGTATCTTCATCAACAAATCTTTAAACTCATCTTCAGATCACCTCATATGTGATAAGTGCTATAAAGCATTATCCAGTTCCTGATAGCTAGGCTTATTAATTATTACACAGATTTTACTCGCAGGCTCGAGAGATGTTTGATGGGGAGTACAAGAGCCTTAAAGCAATAGTAGCAGCTGGGATAGTCAAGGCTCCAACACCTCTCTTGGTTGTAGATAATCCTGCTGGAGGTGCAGTCCTTGTCATGGAGTACTTGGATATGCATAGCCTGAATCGCCACTCAGGGACCTTGGGAAGTCAGTTGGCCAAGTAAGTTGTCTCACTGACTAACATTCATTGTAGTGAAATTGCAGTTGTTAAAAATAAAATATAATAAAGATATTTGGATGCTAAGTTTGGCATCAAAACTTCTAGTGACTGATACAGTACAATGGATTTAGTGACTTATACCTTGTCATCAGATTGGTGGTTTGATCCTATGAATTCCAAGGAATACTTCACTTGTACAGTTGGGCTATACCCTAGAAGGAAACATGAGGAGGATGGAGATATTTTCATTATACTGTAACATTATGTTTATTTCAAAATTAATAAACTTTAACTGCCTTCCATTTTTTTCTTCTTTTGTGAGGCAATTTCGAGTTGTTGTGGTAATTCAGTATTTCTGGCTGATTTCAGTGATCCAGATCCTGATGATATCAAGTTAGTGAGGGTTTAGTGTTCTTCAGAATTCCAGTAAAACCAGATACCATGTTTTTGGCAACTTTACTAGACAGAATACAGTTCTGGATGTCAGCAGACACCATGTTTTAGGCAACTGAGTGATTGATTGATTTGTTGGTGTTAGCACTTACATGAAGATAAACTGGTTCACATGTAATCCTAGGTGTTAGTACAGGGAGTTGCAATAATTCGCAGGTTAGGTACCAGAAGACATCGTGAATTATTAAATCGCAAATTATAGTTTCATTTCCAGTAATTTAAATATAAATAATTAGTTTGGTTCCAGAAGCGAAAAAAAAATGCATTAACTGTCCCAAAATTTCTTTAATTAACACTAAATATCATACATATAATACATAAAAAAATTCAGGAACACTGATATTAACAAAAAAGTAATTCTACATTAGTACTTAAATAAACATCTCCTTCCCTTCCACTAATACACTACACCAACAGCAAGACAGGCAGTGCAACACTGGATCACTAAGAGTGGGGTGGTGGTGCACCCGTAGCTGTCAGCTGTGCAAGGGAGACTAAATTCTCATACTGCTGTAAATAGAAAATAAAATTACAGGTTTTAAGCTAAGTTTAATTTTTTACATGGAAAAACAAAAAAATTTTTTTTTTTACAAAATTATGCTTGGCAACGCATTAATTCGCCTGACAATATTCGACTATTAAAATTCAGACACTTATTTACGTATCGTAAGTTAAACTTGCCAGAACAGCTGTGCAGCACCTCACGTATCAATATGTGATGTGCTGAATCCAGCAAATTCTGGAGAAACCGATGCTTCACCGGACTCAGCACCACCAGCTGGTCTTGCTTGCCCAGAGATACCTACTTAGACATCTTGGTGTAGTGAAAAGAGAGACTAGCAGGTGCTATTGATGGGACGACTGCATTAAAGAGGGTGAGTGTGTAGGAGGGTGCGGTAGGGAGGGAGGAGGCGAGCAGTAGCCCGAGGCACAATTGCCAACTCTGATTTTGCAACCAGTACCAAATCCATCTTTATGTTTTTGCCTTTTAATAATTATTTCTTTTATTTTTATTTTGCACATTCTGTATGAAAGATTGTCTACATGTAACAAGAGTAAAAAAAAAAAATAAGAAAATTGTCTGCTGTTACAGCTCACTGCCTCCACACACAAATGTTCACTTGCCCACACATACACACACTTGATCTTCATTTTTCTTATTTAAAGTTTTATATTATACATGTACTACATTCTTCATTGCTAAGCCACATTAGAGTATTGAAATTATTTTATTTATATACAGTATGTTTTTTTCTCAAACAAGCTCACATGGTGAGTTAGCAGATGCGGGGTGGGTTGGCTCAAGGAGACAAGGACTAAAAACAGTATCTTATCCATGGTTTGCCTCACACTAGGGTAAGACCCAAGCATAAGGATGGTTCAGGGGGTTAGATGCATATAAGCAGGGTCGCGTACTATGAATACGCATTCTCTGTGACCCTACTGTATGTAAGATTCCATTGTCCTGCATTGTTGACAGGATGATTTTCCTTTTAGATTGCACCTCCTCAATGTTGAAGTTGGGAAAAAGTGCCAGGCTAATGAGAGTTATGTGGGCCAGACATCAGAAGAGGACAATCCCACATACGTGAGCCAGTATGGTTTTCCAGTGTCCACCTGCTGTGGTTACCTAGCTCAGGACAACAGCTGGTGTGATGACTGGGTGGTAATGTACTTTTTATATTAGTATTCTTAAATGTACTTTATATGTTATTATTATTATTACAGCTTGCCCTTAAAATTTGCGGGGATTGGGTTCTCAAAATGGCCACAAATAACATTTGCTGTTGGGGGGGGGATACATTTTTACTTATGCACAAAGAAATGTACAGTATATTCCCCTTATGTGTTCCCTTAGGATAATTATTTCTTTTACCTGTAGTGTGTGTGTGTGTGTGTGTGTGTGGACACACACAAAACATACAAATAAATAATAATGATAATAACAAACCACGGAGTTGACTTTAGGGTAGACTCATATTTTTTCTAAATTTTATTTTGTTTCTGATTATTTATGAGAGGATTTTCCCATTATTATTTATTTGTATGTGTTTTGTGTGTGTACACACACACACACACACACACATATACAATACAGGTAAAATAAATTACTGTCTCTAGAATGAAAGGCTCCCTGTCCCGGACGTGAAAACTCCCCTTAGACATTCTTGGGTACATCCAGGGTGTCATCTGCAAATTATCAGGGCATTTTGTGTTCATTTAGAAATCTTAAGTAAGTTTTCCAAATATGGATACAGTAGATGGTGGCACAACATTATATGAAGATAAGTGGCAACTAAAATGTTTAGGGAATATTCACAGGTACTGTACCATCTTTCTTCAAGCATATATGGTAGGAGATATAAAAGGCATTTATAGAATTATAGCATAGTTCACTTTCATACATTCAACAAAGTAAAGATATACTGCTGTATATAGGGGGTCCCCAGGTTACGTATGTCCTACTTATCAACATCTGCCGATATGAACGAGGTCCCAAAAAGTAGTACCTTCCTGTTTGATAGCTGCCTTCTATGTACTACCTTTACCTGATGACTTATTTTTTTTACATTCATTGACTGTATTTTGTCATTCTATGATAAAGTGGGATTTTAAACATTGTTCTGTAAATACAATATGCACACTGGGTATATGATTCGACTTAAGAACGTCCATAGGAATGTAACTCATACGTAACCAGGGGACTGCCTGTACCGGGTATTCTTTTCTACAGTACACTACAGTATATTCATGGAACTGGTTGATATATGTGAGTGTAATATAGAATAATATTGTGTATATTTTTGTTTGTTTTTATTTTCAGGAATTCTACACAAAAAAGCTTCAGCTGCAGTTGTCATGGATAGAAAAAGAGGCAAGTAGAATCAATCTGCCGGAAATGTAAAAGCTTATCATGCACTTGGCAGACCAAAGTGTCATGTACCAATTCAAAGCTCATACCATATTGTATGTTATATAACTTTATCCAGAGTAAGTCCAGTAAAGATGTTGATTAAGACTATGTACTCAAAAGATATGATTGTCTTATTTACCAAGTGTTCAAATTAACTTTATATGAAACTTCAGAGTAAATAATAGGATTTTTTTTTAATTAGTATCATATATCCTATAAAGCATGTGTATGTTGTATACAGTGTATCTCATTGATCGTGCACCATAGGTAAATTAATGTTAATTCTTTTTTCAGTTGAATGAATCATAACAAACTAACGAAGATGGCAGAGAAATTGGCACTTTAGGCAAGAGTCATTTTAATGTTCATATATGGAAAACCAGGTGCTGCACACCAATCACTTCGAAAAAATATTTAATCAACAAAATCCATATCCCAGTGTTATCGACTAAATTCTTTTGCAACTGATCAGTGTGCAACACCTGACCCTCCATACATGAGTATTAAACAGATTCTTTCTTCTTGTGTTAATTTCTCTGACATCTATGTTGATTTGTTATGATTTCCTCACCTGAAAAAATAAGAAGTATAATTTTCTTATGGTGCATGTCTTATGAGACACCCTGTATGTTCAGTAACACTTATTCTATTAAATTTTGTTAGTTCCTTATTTTTCTTCTTTTTTTCTAGAAAAATTAAAAAATTTTGCCCTTTTCATTCTTGCTTGTGACAGTATGGAGATCGTGAGGCTAGAGAACTTTGGTCACATCTACAGTTGAAGATTCCGCAATACTTTTCTGGTATAGAAGTCAAGCCATCTCTCCTCCATGGTGACCTGTGGGGCGGTAATGCTGCAGAAACTGCTGAGTGCCCTGGTATGTACAGTACAGGGTATGAGATTATTTTGATGTGGTGATATGTTGTGAAGTACTGTATTTATAATATTGATGAAGTGAATTGGGTGACTCATAATACATCAGCAAATTGCATGTTAACCCATAACATACAGCCAACATAGATAAACATGACCATAGGGCATTGAGGCCAACCTACAGTATATATATGCCATCCTTTCCCACCCTGATTTTTAAAGGCCTATTGCCTTCCCGCATTCCCAATGTTTACGTCTTGAGTTTTTGCGTATGTAGGCTATGCATGGGTGAGTACATAGACCCTCAAAGTGTCAGAAAGCTTTGGACCGTCATAGAGAGTAGGTCTAGTACCTCCCACGAGATGGGTGGTGATAGCGAATTTTTTCTGACATCCATGATTTTTATGATGATAATAGTTATTTCTGATGGGTTCCCTCTTGCAGAAGATGAAAACAATGTAGACTTATAATATTTCTAGGCTTTTTTGATGTTGCTGTAATGGAGTTGATAGTTGAGCAAATCGATAATTATTATTGGTATGTCAAGGACAACAATATTTTCACCATTCTCACATAGCTATATGTTACAGCCCATTTGTGAAATTCCCCAGTTCATGAGCTGGGTAATCTTACTGACCAGTTTGTGAATTGGTCAAATTAGCTACACAGTTCATGAACTGGGCAATTTCACAATTGGGGCATAATAAATGCATAGGTGGGTAGGTTATGCCCCATGTCAAGAAACATCTTATTAGTACATTTTTGGAGAAATTACTATTTGACTGGTGCACCCAGCTGCTCTCCCTCTTCCTGACGTGATGTCATGGCATACACGCACACGCCTTGGAATCAGCTGAACTCTGTCACATCGTATAGAGGATGGTTTGAGTGTGGAAGGAGTTATTTTTTGTATATAAAATATGTGCTACTGTATTTTATGATATATTGTACTATGTATCAATTTTATTGTTTATCATAGCAATTTTTTTATATTTTTTATATGTACAATTTGAAATTTGTTCAAATCATGCTCACCTTTTGCTCACTTAATCGTTTAACTCAGAACCACATCATTTATACAGAGGTTTGGTGTGAATAAATCAATCATTTAACTTTGAAACTGTTTATAACAAACTCGTTTAGTTTTTTTTTTTTTATTGCGCAACCCCCCCTACATCCTTGTGTAAGGTGAAGCAGAAGCGTTTACAGCGCCCAACAGGGAAGCATGCTAAGTTCATGCTTGCCTTATGTCTCATGAGTTAAGGGCGTAGAAGCCTGAAGAGTCGATGGTTTATGTCTAAGCAAGTTATTGGAAGCTCCAACAACTTGTCCCTGAATACGAATTCGCAACTTTCGATTTACAGCAGGTACCTACTTTGCTGCTAGGTGAACAGGGACCAAGGGGACTAGGAAGAGTGTCCAAACAACTTCCGCTGGTCGGAACTCATTTATTATTATTAGGGAGTACAGTAGTGTACAGTAGACTCGCACTTATGCCAGGGTTATGTTCCTGGAACCTCACGTAAAGCTCAAAAAGCGTAAAGTCAGAAACACTCCTAAAATCCCTAAATCACCCTTAAATCATATATATATATATATATATATATATATATATATATATATATATATATATATATATATATATATATATATATATATATATATATATATATATATATATATATATATATATATATATATATATATATATATATATATATATATATATATATATATATATATATATATATATATATATATATATATATATATATATATATATATATATATATATATATATATATATATATATATATATATATGGCGCGTGAGTGTACAGTATTGTACTATAAATATCATAGACAGTACCTGTATTTAAAAGTTGTTCTAAATTATTATACAACACTATGGGCTTTAATTTCAAACAAATCACTCGTGCCAAATCACATAAATAAGCAAATTTTTGTTTTGCCATATTATATCACTCTGCATGCTTTTCTACTATTTTTTGTGTTGTAATATAAACAATGGTAAGTTATTTTGAAGTGTAGTGAGTCAAGTGTGAAGGCTAAGTCGAGGACATAACCAGGTATGTATGGATACAGTATTTCTATATCTCTTATTTCTCGCCTATCACTGTAGATTTATCTTGCACCACTTTCGCAAATCATATCCCCATTTTTGAGGCTTTTATGTACAGTAATTTCTTGATTTAACAAACTAATTCGAGCCACCCCTTTCCGTTAAATCAAAATTTCTACTAAATCAAATTTCCGTTATTTTCGCTCAATTTAGCTAACTATTTTGCTAAATCAAGCACGATTCCATTAAATTCTGCACCAAATGCGCCGCTTGGCGAGTGAGGTTTGTTTACATCCGCTTAGTCTGTGTCCTGCTGCCACCGTGTGTGTTGTTCACTACTACCTCTCAGTCAACATCTTGGTCAACTAACTACTATGCTTAGACATCATGCCAAAAATCTCTCAGAAAGGAAGTGGTGTGGGGAAGAAAGTCAAAAGAGTGCAGCCATCAATTGGGAAAAGTTTGAAATTTATAGAAAAAATTAAAACACACACCAAACCCCCTAGTTTAAGGTAAGCCATTAATATTGTTTCTATGTACATATCATGTGTCTGAGGTGTTTCTGTAGGTGTGAGCATATTAACGGAATTAATCTCGATTAAGCGAACTAGTTCACTAAATCGGGTGAAGAATAGCGGAACAAATTCCTTCTGCTATATCGAGAGTCCATTATATCGGATTCCGTTAAATTGAGAGTAAACTGCATCTTGATTCAGCCCATATAAAAATAGGAGAGGAGTGAAGATAGTAGAGAGAGAGATAGGCTGGTTTTGGTGAGTATTGTAATTAATTTTCAATTAAAAACCCCTCATGAATTTCTTTTTGGTGATCAATAACTACTTTTTTTTTTCAGTGATCTTTGACCCAGCATCATTCTATGGTCACCATGAATATGACTTGGCCATCTCAGCAATGTTTGGAGGCTTTAGTCGAAGATTTTGGGATGAGTACCATAGCATCATTCCCAAAGCTCCGGGCTGGAATAATAGGCACAAACTTTATAAACTCTTCCATAATCTGAATCACTGGTAAGTAATTTTGTGCTTTATGCAGGTGGACTTTCTCTAGGGTTCTGCTCCTGGAAAGTTCCATGAATGTCAAAACCTCAGATGATGATACTTAAACATTATGGGAGAATTGGGGATAAGGACAACACCAATGTTAAAGTATGGGAAAGTTAAAGGTAAATTAACTAAAATAAAAGGCAATAAAGGGATTCTGCTTAGTATATACAGTACAGTAGTGTACTGTATATAGGTAATACATAAAAAAAAAATTAAATAGTTATTGTAATATATATATATATATACAGTATTACCCCGCTTAACTCGGTAAGTAGGTTTCACTTACCGCGATTCGCATATACGTAGTGCCTCGCCAGAACCGAACTTTCACTTAACGCGGTTCATCTACCCATATACGCCGTGAAGTATAATTATTTTTTTTTATTTAGCTCATAAAATTCATACAAATTACCCGGCCAGAATATAATTTACATTGCTGGAATTCTTACAATATGATGATCATTTTGAATATAAACATCATAGATTTTGCATTAGACATACAAATTTTAGATATAATGTTTACTCTGAGTAAATATGTTATCTTTTGTGCAAAATATATGACATTTATATTCAAAATATTCCTGGTCTTACAAGGAATCCAGCAATGTCAATTATATTATCCTAACTTTAGTTTGAGGTATTATTTATTAAAATCCAGTGGTTTTCCCCCAAAATTTCTCAGAGAGGGAAGAGCCAGCAGTGTAGTGTGAGAAGAGAGGGAGGGAGTTGAGTCCATTATTTGAATAGACATTAACTTTGCGACTGTATTTCTCTATTTCTTTTAAGTATTAATTGTGTTATTTTTACTAGAACATAGGTATTGTGTCCGAAAAAGTAGAGTTTGGGGGTCGGGCCAGTCTCTATTGGAATTAATCCCATATGTTCTGTTGTTCACTTAACGCGGTTTTCACTTAACACGGTACCCTGTGGGTTCAGTTGACTGCTTTAAGCGGGGTACTACTGTATATATATATATATATATATATATATATATATATATATATATATATATATATATATATATATATATATATATATATATATATATATATATATATATATATATATATATATATATATACACATGGGGTTCCCCCAAGTTCGCGGATTTTTATTTTGCGGTCCTCTATTATTCGCGGATGACACCCTGGATCCAAGAATGTCTGTGGGTAGTTTTAAAGTTGCCGGAATTTTTGCAGCCGGGACAAGGAGCCATTCGTTCTAGAGACAGTATTTTCCTTTACCTGTATTGTAGAGACACACACACAAAACACATACAGATAAATAATAATGGGAAAACTCTCACAAACAATTAGAAACAAGTTTATTAAAAATGTGACAGTCTACCCTCAAGTCAGTGCTTTATTACTTTATTAATAAAGCACGGTCTTGAGGGTAGACTCAGATTTGTAATAATTTTTTTTCTGATTATTTGTGAGAGTATTTTCCCGTTATTATTTATTTGTAAAGGAAATTACTATCTCTAGAATGTTGAAGACAAACATTGTGGTAAGCGGATCAGCTGTTTGCTCTTTGTAAACAAATGACTCGTGGTGTTCAGTGCGGGATTCTTATTTTCAGGAAAGTTGATTCTTTTAGGATAATATTTTATCAACCTGGCACGAAATGATCCTAAATTAAATGAGAATTATGGTGGTAAATATCCGGATGAATCGGGGGACAAACACGCATTACTTAATCTTATGGGGAAAAGTAGGATATGTTCCATAACTAATAAAAGTCAACAGAAATGCTATAAAAGTTGTGGAAAAATCATTACAATACTCTAATATGGGTCAGAAATAAGGATAATATAATATAAAACTATTAAATATAATATGAAACTCTAATCTAAGACATATGAATACCATGGATGTTTGTGTGCAAAGTGAGAGTGTGGAGTGGCTGACTCATCACTCCAGCTGCATTCTTTGACATCACATACAGCACAGTAGACACACACACTCTTCCATGTTTCACAATCATTTCTGGAGCATTTATGCAATAAAAGTTGTAGAAAATTCATTAAAATACTCTAATGTGGCTTAGAAATGAAAATATAATATAAAACTATAAAATAAGAAAAATAAAGAACATGGGGTGTGTGTGGGTAGGTGGAAAGTGAGTCGCGTGATAACTGAGGAGCCCGCTCTCCCTCAATGTGATGTCACTTACACACACATCTTTTATTTAGAAGTTTGGTGTTAATACAATAAAACCAGAAATACAGTACCGTATTTTACGGCAGGGAGGTTTTAGGAAAAAACTTTCTTGTGTATATTCCAAATGTAGCCACAGTTTTTTTTAAATAATATACAGTACAGTATTGTATATAGTACCAGGAAATGTGAGAAATAAATACAAATAATACCAACAAAAAATACTGTATATTGCCAAATCCGTAAATAAAGGCCAAACACAGTCAGCATTTGCATACACTCCCTGCTTCACCATAGTAACGAAGATCAGTTGGGATGCCGATTCCCTAGCAATGCTCCCCCAACCCTTGCACTTTGCACTTTCCTCCTGTTACATGTTTACCCTAAGAACAATTATTTCTTTTACTTTTTTCACAATATGTATGTAGGATGGTGTGTGCATGTAACTGAGTAAAAATGAATGGATTAAGTTAGTATATCGACCCAAAAATACGAGTTGAAAACAACCATAACACCCCACAATGGGGGAGTAAACACAGCATATGGACTGAGAGAGACCGGATGGAAATTTGCCACATCCAGATGTCGGTCCAGACCAACCGAAATCCTGATTTGAGGGGTCCAAAAGTGTGAGGGTTTACTGTATAGTGAAAAGCTCTGAGCTTGGTACCTTTGGGGGAGATTAAAAAAAAATATATTAAATTTGATTGATGCATTCTACTGTACCATGGAAATTATTGAATTATTAGCATGCTTCAGACACCTGCTACAATGAGTTCATGTCTACCAAGCATGTCACTAGCAAAACAAAGTTGTGGTGGAAATGTGAGAAAAGATCCAGTGGTTGCAGAATGTTTGAAAAGTTAGTTGAATGATATCTACATCATTGATAATTTTTTTAGGAGTCAGTCTTGGTTTGAACTGTGGACACTGTCAACATTCCCAGAAGAAAATTGCCGGTGCAACCTTGTCCTTGGTGGATCTTCTGTAGCAGTGTAATTATTTTCCTGTTATTTGAGAAGCCCTGCTGATCTCCTTGACACTTCCAGCCTCCACATAAGAAGTAGAGCAGTCAATAGTACACTGAGACATGGCTTCAATCAGCAATGTCAACGGAACATTTGTCTAGTTTTTTCTTGCTCCACATGCATCACCAGAAGAAGTTAGATTGACAGAAAGCTTTTACTGAAGATGTGATTGATCACTTTCGAACTGATAAGCACTGCTTTCAGTATTTACGTAAACCATTGAAATTATGCTATTAATGTTCTGAGCAACTTCCCAGGTTTTCAGGATTAATGATATCAGATGAATTCTTTCCATTAGTTTTTAATGCTTAAGGTCAACCCTATGATAATTTTTCTGATTAATAATTTGGTGAAAACTGATTATATTTTATTATACTTTTATATGGATGTATATAGCTGTTTTGAATATACAGTACTGATGTTAGGTCTTGTCTTGCTTTCTTGCACCCCCTGGAAAAGATCCTCCTGTGGATACAACCCCCACACACACACACACACACACACAGTTGCATAGTTTTGCAAATAATTTTCATGAAGCAAAAACTGAAAAGAGTACTTGAAGCCAGTACTTGTACATGTACAGTACATTCCTAATTTTAAAACTTGCATTTACAGGAATCACTTTGGGAGTGGATATCGAAGTGGCAGTCTGCAGTTGATGAGAGATTTGTGCCGCTAGAAAAAACGTCTTTGCTGTGAAGATTGTGATATTTATGTTAAGATTTATTGCTTTAAGAAAAGCTGATGAAGATTAGGAGCAACTAAAATACATCTGTAATCTCCCTGTTAGCCGTAACCCCTGGTCCCCAGACCCTGGGTCCAGGCAGGGGAACAAGTTTCCGAGAATAAAAATCGGCACATTTTCTGGATAAATTCTGAGAGAATCTCTCTGTTCTAGGTCTGGTAACAGATATTTCCGGAGCTCCAAGAGATTGTCATCATGCTCCAACATGTCCCCACATGCCAGGCGCATGGGTGGCCTAGTTGCCTGGATCGTTTAGTTCATATTCTGCTGCCATTATAGTTTTTCCCTTGCTCGCTGCTGTTTTTGCATACAATTTGTGTTGTGCAGTACTGTACATCCCTGTACCAAGACATAATCAACCAAGATAGTTTTAAAACAGTGTTGACATAAAAAGTGGTTACACTGTACAGTTATTTATACTGTACTGTACATTCAGTAAGTGTGAAAGTACCATAGGTACAGGAAGAGGGAAACACTGGCTCATTACCGTAGCTTTCATCTTTAATCAAAAGATTTTCAGGTCATGAGACCCACTAATCCCACCACTCCAACAATGGGTGACCTGACATTGCATCAGGTCAGGTCAGTAACAGGAAACTCTCTAATCCCCAACCCCACCTCCATTGCAAATGTTAAGTCATAAAAAGTGAATACAGTGGTCCCCCGGTTAATGAACAAAATTCGTTCCAGAAGGTCGTTCATTGAGCAAAAATTTTGTTAACCAAATTCATTGTTTCAATGGGATATTGGGTAATTGGCTCCAGTTCACCGAAAAGTACATACAAAGTAAAAAAAAATGCAGTAAAGTACACTTACTTTGAGGTGTGTATGTAGAAGGTTCCTGGTTGATGATGATGATGATGATGGGAATTAGAAGTGGGGGTGGAGGAGAAGGGAGAAGAGAAGGAAGTAGGGATGGAGGAGAAATCACCTTTCACGGAACCATGCTTGATGCAGTCATTTCACCAATAAAATTTTAAATTCACTAGGTGTAATTCAAGATTATTTTCTTTAAATCAACACTGCACTGTGCTATATATTATCAATATGTTAACTAAAGTTCAGAATGACCAATAATTTCAAAGAAAAATGCAAAAATATTCAAGACACCAACAAAATAGATGCTCTCCACTGTTTTCAAAGTCTCAACTGACGTCTTGTGACCGACTCACGACTCACGCATCTGATGGGTGCACAACAAACTAGTTCCCTGTGCTGCATATATTATCAATATGTTAAATAAATGTGAAAAGGACTAATAATTTAATATAAAATATGCAAAAATATTAAATAGCACAACTTTATTGATATTCCATTGGAAACGAATGTAAACATAGAACAGATTACTGTACTGAATTGGCAGACCAGTCCATCAGCTTTTGCTCACAACAAAACATGATGTTTGTAACTAGTTCCCTGTACTGCATATATTATCAATATGTTAAATTAATGTTAAAATGACTAATAATTTTAATATAGAAAATGCAAAAATATTAAAGAGCATAACTTTCTTGATATTTACTCCACTGGATATGAATGTAAACATATGTTTGTAACTAGTTCCCTGTACTGCATATATCATCAATAGGTTAAATAAATGTTAAAATGACTAATAATTTTAATATAAAACATGCAAAAATATTAAAGAGCACAACTTTATTGATATTTACTCCATTTGAAATGAATGTAAACATAGAACAGATTACTGAATTGGCAGAATAGCCCATCAGCTGATGCTCACAACAAAACGTGATTTTCGTAATGATTTCGTTAATCGAATTTTTGTTCATTAACTGAATTGAAAATTCTTATGGAAGGTAATTGTTTAACCGAAATTTTGTGAACTGAACCGTTCGTTAACCGAGGGACCACTGTAGTTATATAGACTGTACCGCACATTCAGCAAAGTGGACAGTGTTTGCCTGCTGTAGGCTCAGGATGACAGCATCTGCTGGTGAGTACAGTACAGTGGTCCCTCGATTAACGAACATAATTGGTTCCACAGTCGTTCGCTAACCGAAAATTTTGTTAACTGTGAAAGTTTTATATGTAAAAAAAAAATCTTGTAACCTCGACATTTTCTATAATTTGCTTAATTTCCATAATACTGTACATAAAATGCGACATTGGTGATATTTGATCTCGAGAAGCAGTTGCTGATGTAATATTTGATGCCTCTTGTATCAAGTATTAATCTCTGGCTGAGCAGTATTGTGCTAATGTCCAAAATTAGATGCGAATCTAAGGGAACGGAGAAGCTTTCGTTACACAGTTATCTTAACACTGTGGGGTGTACCATATTTGGGCCAGGGCTCTTGTGAATTTTTAGCTTTGACAGTTTATAATGTGGGTCAGCTCTGTGTCAAACCTTCTTTCTTCAGATGCAGGAAGATTGTTCGCATCCTCTCTTGTGAACACCGATGAAAAAAAAAATTCAACACCACCTCCTTATCCTGGTCAGAATCTGCGTAACTACCATCTTCAAGTCTCAGGTCTGATATGCTTTCTCGCATTTTTAATTTCAACTTTGCGTAGTGATAAAAAGCCTTTGGGTTTGACTTGACCTCACTAGCAATCTGTCTCGGGAACTTTTTTTCAGCCTTCTACACTTTGACTTTGCTTGGTTCCTGGATCTGGCATACATCCTTCTGTCCTGCTCATCATTTTTCCCATGTCTCAAAATCCTACGTTTTCTTCTTAACTTTGCCACCCGCCGCATGATTCAAGTGTAGCGGTCTACTTGTATTCCTGGAGGCACTGGGTTTGGTCTTGGGTACTATTTATTTATCGATCAAATGGCTTATTTTACTGGCTATGATATTCAGCGGAGCATCTGCGTTCTTATTCCTTAGTAAGTCAGGCCAGTGTATACTCTTCATTTCCTCCCTCATCCCGTCATAATTTCCTTTGTAATATTTGGACCTGGACCTGGTTTTGTCATGAACCAATTAACAGTTAAATCTGAAGGACAAGGTTACGTGGTGACTGGTGCCAACTGGGGCTAGGTGTTCCAGCTTGGCCACCATGCCCTCCTCGTTAGTTATGATGAGGTCCAGCAGTTTAGGTGTTTGCTCCCCTCTGTGGTGAATCGGATCTTGAACATGTTGGAATAGAAAATTGTCTCGCAGAGTTTCTACGAAAAGAGTGGCTGCATTTTGTGCCATCAATTCTATATAGAAGTGTTCAGTCTCGAGTGGTACGTTCGCAAGTGTTTCTGTACACATCTGCAGTGGGAGAGGAGGGGTACCAAGCGGGGCAGGTTGGAGGTGTATGGAGGCGTACTTGACAAGAGTGGAGGAGTGGGAACAGCTGCTACCCTCCTCTGTTACTACCGCTTCGTGTCTGGCTCTGCTGAGTCCGCCATCCCATGCTTGGCTCGCCACAACTCCCTCTCCTTACCAAACCAGTGAACGAAATGGAATCGGTTATGTAACTACTGTATACAACTTCTATATAATATATGTCAGTAAATTCTGTTGGTTACGATTCTCGCAAATGGCCAAACCTCGTGTTTTATAAGTTTAATTGTTGATGTAATACAGTAGTGTAATTACTAACCTTGTTACGTGCTTAAATACCTCTGTTGTTGAAGCGCAGTAATAACAATACTCCCACATTTGAACATATGTTATTTTTGTCATGGGACAATTGTTCATAATTTGGATATCAAATTATTCAAATACTGTATGAGTATTCCACATATTAACGTTTTACAACCCAAGTCCTGAGTAATACTGTACAGACAGACAGACAAATAGAAATTAATGGACACGAGTAGACAGAAAGAACGAGACAGACATAGATATATAGATAGATAGATTTCGATAAACTCTACACAAAATTACATGGATTCAACATGTACAGGAATTAGTCAGTGCAGGTATGTATACTATACAGTTCAGCATGTAGAGCACACAGGTATACAGTTCAGCATGTAGAGCACACAGGTATACAGTTCAGCATGTAGAGCACACAGGTATACAGTTCAGCATGTAGAGCACACAGGTATACAGTTCAGCATGTAGAGCACACAGGTATACAGTTCAGCATGTAGAGCACACAGGTATACAGTTCAGCATGTAGAGCACACAGGTATACAGTTCAGCATGTAGAGCACACAGGTATACAGTTCAGCATGTAGAGCACACAGGTATACAGTTCAGCATGTAGAGCACACAGGTATACAGTTCAGCATGTAGAGCACACAGGTATACAGTTCAGCATGTAGAGCACACAGGTGTACAGTTCAGCATGTATAAGATTCTACTCATCTCTCAAACTCACCTTAATTACTGTGAAAATAGATATAGAAATTAATAGCGTTAGCTGATGAAGCTGTAGACAAAGAGATAGTTAAGGTTGTTCAATATTTTGAGATATTACTTCCTTATCTCCTACAAAAGGAGTTTAGCCCATAAGGTGTTAAGTAAATAATTATGGTAACTAGTGGAGGAGGTAGACACAATGGAAGAGATAGATAGTGGAGGAGGAGGTAGGGTGACCGGACAAAACCACGGTCTCATATAAAATATAAAATAAAACACGTTTAGGTTAGGTTAGTGTTGACAAATGACAACCCCGTTGGGGTTTTGTCATGGAACCAGGAGGTAGACACATTGGAGGAGGAGGTATATAGACAGTGAAGGAGGAGGGAGGCACAGTGATGGAGGAAGGAGAGGAGGTGGAAGACACTGTGGTGGTGGAGGAGATAATAGTAGCAGTCAGTTGTTGTGGTGTGCGGGCCCCCAACAGGTGGCGCCAGTAATGAAAGTGACCACACGCTCATCCATCCCTCTCAGCTGTGGTTCCTCAGGCAGCCACCCACGATTAATCAGAATCCAACACGACGTTATTGAAATTACTATGTGTTTAGCATCTCTCATTTTTTTGTAATTTGTGATGGTTAATGTTGTGGCTCACTCAGCCATCATGAACTTGAGGTTATGGAGGGAAGACTTTTAAAATGGTGTGAAAGTGACTGAACACACACACACACTGCCCGGAGCTGTTACAACATAATACACAATCGCTTCCTGTTCTGAGTATGATAGTTAATGAGTAGATACCGTATATACTAGAGTACAGTTCGAGTATTTATGATAAATTTTTCATGCAAAAAGGTAGGCTGTGCCTGACTGCCAACGGTGGTGGCCTCAGTTCGAATCCGTCACGCAGAGATGGAAATTGTTTACAAATTACCAAAACCGAATAAAACTAAATTCTTCAGGCCAGGCCAAGGAGTGTAAAGACTCGGTAGTCTGGTAAAACTAATGTTATAACAGTAATAATGTAAGGCCTCCTCCTCCCCTTATAGCCTCCACTCACCACCAACCAACTGATTGTTTTACATCAGTGTTACATGAACTCAACAAACACTAGTTAACAATAATTGAACACAAGCAACAATTAATATATGCAAAGCAAAACAAATTCACAGGTGAACACTGTAGCCTGTGAAAAAAAAATACATTTATGAAGAAGCAAATCTCATCTTTAAATGCACTCACTGCACCACAGTACTGTATTGTTATTTAACTGGCAAAGAAACTACTGTATATACTGTAGGCATGACAAGCTTCCTCTATTATTTCTCATTTTCTCTCTAAATTCCCCTCATTCTTTCACTCTTTTCGTCACTTTCCATTTTCGCGAACAATTCGGTGAACATCTCGATCAACTGAAAAACACACATTCGAACTTCTCCTAATACCTATACAACTTTTAATCATAAGAAGTCTTTAAGTCAATTTCTTCATAAATATATTCACATTTAACGATGCACCAAAATTAGGTAATGTCTCTTCGTGTACATCATCGAGACAGAGTAAAATACAATCACTGTCGTATCAGAAGAACGGTGGGGGAGAGGCTGTAAGAGTTAGATGAGAGGAAAACAGTGAAGGAAATGTGAGAGATGGGGGAGATGATAGAACTCGATTAGAATTGTGATAAGAGGAATAGAGGAACGAACGAAAGAGAAAGAAAATAAGAGTGGAAGTAGAAAAGGAAAAGTTATTCTCATGATCCATAATACTGTATTCTAGTCTGAATTTGCGGAGATGAAGAACCTCAGCATATTTCTCAACATGATAAAAAACCCTAATGCTAACCTTACTTAACCTAATTTAATATAATTCCTACTAAACATTTCAGTGTTTTATCATCAGGTGAAATAAGCTTAGTTTAAGATAAAACAGACAACCTGCTTTACCACGTAACATTCATAATTTACAAGTGTTGGCTTTTAGGCAGAATAAAAATTCTAAAATACGACAATCGGCGGTAAAGGGTTAAGCGCGAAACATTATAAATAATTTATTTATTCCATTAGTCCAACAACAATTACAAATAATGAGACAACTCCGTGTTATAAACAAGTGGTGGTGATGGTGGAAGTAATTTTTTGTGTTGGCGGTTTTTGGTAATTCACAATTTCAGATATATTATTTTACACACACGAGAAGTGATCTGAAATACTGCCTTCAACCTGTTAACAGCGACAGGCGAAGGCCTTTGAGACATACATGTAAGTGAAGTTAAAGGTAAGTTGATGAAACAATAATTACACGGGAAATTACTTAATATGTTCTATTTGGTGATGATTACCAGCAGCTCCAGGCGAGACGCGATGTTATATAAGAGCCTGTTAGCCCGTCACCACCAGTGGTCCCTGGGATGGTGTCCAGTGAAGATGACGGCCCTCGTTTTCTGTTTTGTTCTCTTCGGTAAGTAGATAGCAGAACGGTTTTTTTTAATTCCTATTTGTCGTATATAATATTTCGTTTTTGCATTCAAATATGTTCGTAAGGGTTGCGATATTTTGGGATCGTTATTTGGTTGAGCACAACATACTGACGTATTCCTAAATTAAAAAGAAATTTGTGTAATCTAGTACAGTACAATGATTTTGTTACCGGCAAAATGTAACATTTCCATTATATTTGTTTTTCATACCGTAAACTTCAGATGGCAATAAAATCAAAACCAGTTCTGTTAATAAAATTGAAATTGTACGTCAATATGATTTACAGCTGCCAGGCATTTCCTTGTATATGGTACTGTCTCACAGTAATATCTACGCCATTTAGGATAGCTCACTAAATGTTAATTTTTTTTTATCCTTCCATGACGGTGGCGTCGCCTAGCGGCCGGAAGTAAAAAACACATTAGTTATTTTTAAGTCCATTGCTCTTTACACGATATTGTGCGATAACACCAGATTATTCAATAAAAAAACTATTAACATCCAACTTTTGATATCTAAGGATAATTTCTAGAAGCAACACACTGATTATTTTGCAGTAAAATATATTTATTTGCCTACTTAAGGGAATATACTCGTACTCCCTTCAGTCCTTCAGTTGTTCCTTGGTGTTGCTAGAGCACTCATTAGTTACAGTATTGGGTTCCCAATGCAGCTACTATAAAAATATATATATTTTGCCGAATTCTTCGTCTTCCTGTTATTCCTTGCCTGGCAATTATTTTGTTTACTCCCCAGCCGCTTGGCGGTGTCCCTTTGGGGGGTGAATGCGTTCGCCCATTGGAGTGGGCTATCCATATTACAGTACGTAATCGTATTAGAATCTTTGGATTTAGTTAAGCCAACTTAAGCAGCAACGGCTGCTGACGGCGACGCTGATGCAAAGAATATCCTTAGATGTAACCCGAATCTAAGTTATGAAAATAACGAGTAGTGATGACAGACGTTGCAACTAAGGTTAAATATCCGTTCATCTTGGGTAAAACTAATGGCGTTGACCGCTATTAAGTCTCGTCCAGCCTTGCCACACACAGTACTTATTGGTTCATCTTCTCAGCTGTTACTGCTACAGTAGCTGTCACTTTCCTGAGTAGTTATCAGGGCCAGTAGGCAGTAGTAACCGTCACTTTCCTGGGTTATTATCTGGGCCAGTAATAGCCGTCACTTTCCTGAGGTAGCGGCGTCAATAACATCATCAAGTAGCGGGTGGTGACGCAAGTCACGCAACACTCGTACATCTGCCACGCCGACCAGCTGCCGCCCGGTGTGGTCACGGAGGAAAGTGTAAATGATTGTGTACGTATTGCTAGTTGCCACCCAAACTGCCATTCTCTCTCTCTCTCTCTCTCTCTTTTACGTGATGAATTGTGAGTCTATTCTAACAGTATTCACTGCCACTGATTTTATTTTAAATCACGTGGCTTTTCCTAAGTATTAGCCTAACACGGCCGGACCCAGACCTCAAATTAGACCGATGCAATCTTTCAGTTTTTGTAGATTTTTCTCAAAAAGTCTATGGAATTTTTACAACCCATTCCCAGCGCCGTATTTTTAATCTTTTACTTTTATCCTCTTCGCCACTTATCGGCTAGCCGCTTGGGCGGTCGTTCAGTCACGTCTCTGTTACGCACTGTTGGCAAGTACTGGGCATGTACACTACTACTACAGTACTAAGCATGTACTGGCTCCTGAATGTATCTGTACCTTCGCCAGTGTGGGTCAAGTCTGGTCTTGAAAGAGCTCACACTCGGTGCCGTCACAACACTCTCTGGCATATTGTTCTAAGAGTTTACAATAATTTGTAACTCAGAAAAAACTTGCCCTCACAATTTTCTGGACTTGCGGCTTCTTCAATCTTGAGCTGTGACCTCTAGTGGGCGGGCGTCCGCCAGCTCCAGGTATGAACACTCGACTGAGTAGTGTCCTCAGAGATGTTTGAAAACTTCAATTAAATCACCCCTTGCCCGCCTGTAGTAACTGAGGTGCCGTAGTGCAGGCACCAGTTTGGTGGCCCTCCTCTGGATATTTTCAATCGACAAACAATCTCTAGCATATCTCGGAGACCAGACGGGGTGACAGTACTCCAGACTGGAAAGCACCTCTCTCATGAAGAGCTTTACGAGGAACGGACCGTCTAGATATCTGAACGACCTCCTTATAAGACTTACTAGTTTAGTTGCTTAATTTACCTTCTTCTCACAATAGCCCGAGAACTTCAGTTCATTGTCAGAATACACGCACCCAGGCTCTTTTCACATTCGTTCTCAGTTAATGCCGTTTCTTCGTCCCGTTGGGAGTCTAGTCACCCCAGCATATTTCATCTGAATATTAGCCACCCCAACTTGTTTCACCTGAAGATTAGCTACCCTAGCTTATTTCATCTGAAGATTAGCCACCCCAACTTTTTTCACCTGAAGATTTGCTACTCAAGCGTATTTCAACTGTAGATTAGATACCCAGCTTATTTCACCTGAAAACTAGGCATCCCAGCTTATTTGACCCTAAGATTAGGCACCTCAGTTTATTTCACCTGAAGATTATGCACCCTAGCTTATTTGACCTTTGCATCGGTCAATTTTTTGAGCGATGCAAGTGCATCGGTTGCATCGGCCTGGATCCGACCTTGCCTAACAGTATCTTAAGCATTGGCGTGCTGCTGATTCCACCCGACTTATCTTGTTCCAGGGTGGGCTACTACTGTCATGGGCAGCCCGGTGGAAGACCAGGACTTACAGGAATCGTCATGGGCTTCCTACGGATGGGCTGAGTCTTGGAGTAAGACCCACACACCAGAGAAACGCTCATCGCAGGACCAACGGCATGACCATCCACGCGTGAACCATCGACGTCGCCGTCAGCAGCCGTTGCTGCTGTACGCCGTGTGGGAGGAGCCTCCCTTGCTCGTGAAGGAGGCCATCACATCCGAGGAGGCGGCCTGGGTTCCTGAAGAAGCTCCTCTGGAGACCATCAAGGAGAGTTACGCATTTGGTTCCAGGCAGTTTGATCACAACTTCGGACGGTCTCCTGCCTTCATTGTGGAAACAGTGGATGTGTACGACGCACCGGCTCAACCACGCCCAGACACACCACACCTGCCTCCACCAAGCCTAGACACACCACACCCGCCTCCCTCACACCCACCGCCCCTAGACACCCAGACACTCAGAACCCCATACCAGGCACCCCAGTATCCCGTCCACCAGCCCAGGCACGACCCCAGACCCATCCCATACCACGGACGGCCCCGTAAGTACTACCTGACGGGAGTGATGGAGGAGCTCCCCAGGGACACAAGCCACGTCCACCGCCACTTTAGGAAGTACTCTCTACACTCGGGCACTGGTGACGCAGAGGACGAGGGTTTTCACAACGAAATTGAAGACCCAGTTTACAAGGTTGATGTACAGGACGCCAGCAGCCCGCCAACAGGATTTACCGACATTGAAGCCGGACTCCCATCTGCCCCCAAACCCCCTCCCCACAGTCTCCCTGGGACCTCAGAAAACCTCCATAATACCCCTACATCTCAAGATAATCCAAAAACTACATACTACTCTCCATACTATCCCCCCGGCGGGTTGATTCATCGCCCATTCTACCCTCCACCACCCGCCAGAACTCACTACCTTCACCGACCACCTCCTCCACAATACCCCCGTCCACACTATCCCACCACCTCTGCCCCTTTCAGGAAATACTACCTCCGTAATAACTCAGCCACTCACGATGACGGGACACAAGATGCGCTGGAGGAGGAGGAAGAGGAAGAGGCGCTCACTTCACTAGACTTGAGTTCATTCGAGGTTTATGAATTGGTAAGTTTATTATGATAGTTCGAATATCTGTCTTCTCATTTTCTCTGTTATTCCATTTTCTATAGTCTATGTTAGTAGGTTGTCAGCTCATAGTGTACATCTTTGTTTATTCTGTATGTCATTGCTCATATTGTACATCAGTGTTCATATTGTACAGCATTATTCATATTATTAATTATTTCACATTGTACATAATTGTCACATAAATAAAATTTCAGCTTCGTCTACATGATAGCAGAGAATCCAAAAGCGAGTGACGTCATCTACATGCACAACACGAGATCCTTCCAGCGTATTCCTGGTAATCCTAGCTTCACCTGACCTGTTTCTGGGAATCCTAGCTTGATCCCAGTTCCCATTTCCTATTTCCTCCCCCAATTCTTAGTTCCCCCACCAGTTCCTAGTTCCTCTACCAGTTTCTAGTTTCTCCCCATTTTCTAGTTCCCCGTTCCTAGTTCCTCCACCAGTTAATTAATAGTCACCATTGATGGGAACAGAATTATTTTCTTTAACCACTACTGACGGTGAGGTGAAGGGGGAACTTTATAATCTTTGACAACAGACATTTTTATTCCTATTTTTCTAGTCATTTGGAGGAACTATCAAAACCATCTCGGAACTCTGAATTTCTTAAGTACGATGACTTTACCTGTTGAGTACAATGACTTGATCTTTTGAATATAATGACTACCTCTGAGTACGATGACTATCTCTTGAGTACAATGAATGACTATCTTGAATACGATGATTTGAGCCCTTGAATACAATTATTTAACCTCTTGAGTACATTGAATTAAACTATTGAATACAATAACAACCCATTGAGTACGATGGCTTAATCTTTCGAGTACGATGACTTAACTCCTGAATACTGTCCATCTTACTCCAGGTATAGGTCATCGTATTCAAAGGGTTAAAACATGGACGTGAATGTCTTATAAGTATTCTGGAAATAAGGATCACACTCAAAGGGTTAAATTACCAAGACAGACAGACAGACATGAATACCTTTTGGGATTTTTTTTTACTAATTGTATAAACGTTAAATAGAATAAGAGCTTCTTTGTTTATTAATGAAGTTTGTCATAATTTGTTTACTTTTTCCTGGATAAGATTGTGTAAATTGTGTATATTTTGTGAGTGTTTGTGTAAATTCTGTGTCATATTAATGAGTTTATCCGAACATGAATGTATGGCGATAATTAATTCTTCTTTTGTATTTTCTCTTTTGTTATTGTTAGCGTTGTTCTTTGTTATATTTTGTTGACATTTTTTTTACTGTAATAAACCGAAAAAAAATAATGACGTAGTATTTTATGTTGAACAAATAATAACACTGAATTAAGTTACCTGATTAATCCCACCTCCCCTCCCAGTTCACTTCAACTGATGGTTAAACACCTAAATGATACCTTTGAGTTAAGATTAGACAAATTAGACTGTGTTAAGTTAAATTAGACTAGGTTAGGTTAAGTTAGAATAGGTTAGGTTAAATTAGACAAAGTATAGTAAAGTTAGATTAGGTTAGGTAAGGTTAAGTTAGTCTAAGTATGGTAAAGTTAGACTAGGTTAGGTTAGGTTCGTTTAGCGTTAAGGTGATTACTGTAGTATTAAGGTGTAATAACCCAGGGGAGCTAATCTTCAGGTGGTCCATTAAGACGGTAATACTGTACTATAATGATGAGAGGATAGACAGTAGGACACAAACAATCGAGCATTATTGATAGATAGATAGATTCGAATAGATAGATAGGTAGACGAACAAATTATGCACACGTTCATGTATTAACCTAACCTAAAGTAACGGTAACCAAACATAACCCTAACCAAATATAATATTAACCTATCAAAACCTTAACCAAACCTTACTTGATTTAGTCTTAACATACCCAACATTTAACCGACTACATATAACATTAATAGTATATAAAGTTAACTTAACATAACATTAACCAAACCTTAATTCAACATCTTACATAATATAGCATTAACATAATGTAACCTTAACATACATAACCTCACCTGACATGAGTGATTTACAGGCCTCCAAGTCTTGGGAAAGAAGCAGCTCAGCCCATATGGCAGGAAATGAGTAGGGCAGCAAAATACAACCTGTGCCTTATGGGGGATTTCAACTTCAGAAATATTGACTGGGACAACATTGTAGGTGACTATGAATCTGAAGACTTCCTAGACGCAGTACAGGACATTTTTTTTAAACAACTAATTACAGAACCTACTAGAGGTTACAATATATTAGACCTAGTATTAACAAATAAAGAAAATATTATCAGAGATATCACAGTACGGGAAGAGCTAGGGAACAGTGATCACAGAGAAATCAGGTTCACCCTAAAATGGGAAACGAAATATAATGACAACATTGGTCAGAGTCCCAGACTTTCGATCGGTGGATTATGAGGGGTTAAGAAGGTACCAAGGTGAGGTCTCCTGGAAACAGTCAGGTCAGTCCCGGGTAGGAACGGGTGAGGTCACTGGCGACACAACAATTGATCATGACTATAACATATTCACTAGTGACTAGTATACTCCGTAAAGCACAGGAACAAAATATACCATACAGAAAAATTAGGTCCAAATAAGAATGAGCCAAGGTGGATGACCAAAAAACTTAAACATGACATAGGAATAAAGAAAGGAATTTATAAGAAACTAGCAGAAACGCTGCCCTCCGGGCGGTTCATTCGCGAGGCCACGGTAGGACGCCACCCTTCGGGAGGCTCCACATTGTCTCACTGTTCAGTCCTCAAAACTTCTTCTTCCATCAATAGTTCATTAACGGTGTATGTAAGTTCCACCATGTTTTTCACTACAACGGTACAGCAAAGTATATTTTTTTAGCATTAAACTGTTATTATTTTAATGTTTAATCATCACTACATATAATACCACCCATCATCACGACATATATCACCCATCATCACTACATATAACACCATCCATCATCACTACATATAACACCATCCATCATCACTACATATAACACCATCCATCATCACTACATATAGCACCATCCATCACTACATATAACAACATCCATCATCACTACATATAACACCATCCATCATCACTACATATAACACCACCCATCATCACTACATACTGTATAACAACATCCATCATCACTACATACTGTATAACAACATCCATCATCACTACATATAACACCATCCATCATCACTACAGATCGGTGAAGTAGTTTCCGAGATTCTCATGGGGACACAAACAAACAAACAGACTGATGATTAGCCACCCAGCTTATTTCCCCTGAAGATTAGTCCCCCGGCACGTGTATGCGTGTGTGTGTGTAATAAATAATTAACGGTTTATTGAAAGATCGTGGTAGCCCAAAATGTTAAAATTAAAAATATTCAGTCAACAGAGATAGGAATGGGTCACTTGAATGACAAATAATATACAAGTAACATAAGTGGTTCAAATATGATACTGTATATAATAACAAGGGGGGAGGTCATCAAACAGGTAATATCAGCACAGTAACAATACAAAAGTAAGATTGGTATGTATGTATGTGGCCATGGTCGAGTGCTTGATAATAAAGGTTTATAATCAGGTACTGTGGCGTTTTTGTAGCGTTATTTAAAACAGTTTTATAATGGGATTTTTACCTATGTTGCCACAGTGTTATGCCAACATTAGACAAAAACTATCATCTCAACGTTATATCTCTAGAAAATTATTGCAACATTTTCGCAACGACTTTCGATAACTAATAGAACTTTCGAGAAGTGTTAGCTGGTATTACACCACCGTATTAATAATGTCCCCAATTTTAAACTAAGGCTCATTCCTTGTTATTTCATCTACTTTTACCAAAACGTCACTATTCGGAAAAAGATCTCTTTGATACGGGATTAGTTTATAATTAGATATACTGTACATACAATTTGTGTGAAATAACCAGCATATACTAACTAATACCTGCCTGACGTCCAAGCCTTCAAGTGGATATTCTTTCCAGCTTTCCTATGCCCTCAGCGCATCGTTTGTGAGAATGAGGGAATAATAAGCGCATCGTTTGTGAGAATGAGGGAATAATAAGTAAAGGCCCCTAACCTAACCAATACTGGCACAGGTTCAGAAACATATCATACATTGTAAACTAGAGTCAGTACTTGCCCAATACTTTACAACTGTGCGTAACAGACAGGCGACCTAACAGGCCAATCAGTGAAGAGGACGACGAGGAATCGAGGATAAACTTTAAAATAAAGTAACATTCGACCCATTGTTGTAACCCCCGCCGTCTGTCGTTTGTATTTCCTTTCAACAAGTATATACAAAAATCCGTTCTTAATTTAGAAGACAATTAATGAAGTTTTGTGAAATATTAAATTATACGTCTCCGGTTCTTGGAGATATACTATAATGCTTTTTATTATTGTTATTGTTATTATTATTATTTTGGTTATATGTGAATGTTCATAGTGGTATTAATTTAAATACTTATTACAAACGATGTTAGTTTACAAAATAATAATAAACAAATACTCTTGTAATTCATTTTTGCGAACAATATTAATATTATACAATAAAATGTATATATAATATTAAAATAATATCTATTAACTGTCCTTTATCTATATATAAAAGTTAAGAAGTCATTTACTTAAGTAGTAAATAATGGCGGCTCAGAGGTCGACCAGCTGGCCAGTGGGACGTCACTGTTTTATGTAGAATATTTCACCTGTAAATCTTTTACACGGGAGGAAGGCGTGAAGACTAGTCCTATAAGGCATTCTCATAAACCAGGAAGGTAAATGAAGGAATCATGATAGCATATCGTTTTAATGAGACTATAAATTTGACAAGAGTTTAATGAAGGGAATTTCCAGACAAGTGTAACTTAGCGCATGAAAAACTTCATTGGTGTCATCTAACATGTTTACAGTAGTTCAGACAACCTAGTCACACAAATAATGGTCAACAGTAAATAAATTCAGCCAAGAGTAGTCTGAGTCAATAAATACTCAGGGTTAACTAGCAACTGGGAAAATTTAGTACAGGTGAAAAATTAAATTCTTTCCTTAAAACTGTGATCACATTAGTGTTTCTACCCAGAATAAAACCACCGTAGCGTTGATTTTTCAATGAACTCCTCAAGTTGTCTCTACAGCGACAACTTATTTGTTGTCGAAAGTGGGAAATTATGGAGCATCTGAAAATCCACAGTATGGTGGGTTGACATTTGCTATAAAGAGTCTATTGTATTAATAAAATTGGTAAAGGTGTAGAAGAGGGTGACCAGAAGAAATTGTCTGAATTGGTTGGAATTTTTTCTACACACTAATATCATGATATTAAACAGACCCCATAACATCAAAAGAAACTTGACTTAATATTAAGGTAGGTCGAGTACATCGATGGCATCCAACTGTAACACTTAAACGTTTATTTTTCCTTTAATGTCAGTTCCCTGCCACATTTGGACACTTGGATGTCTTTTCAATAAGTCACTGAGCACATATTAAGTCATTAACTTGGCCTTGATCCTCAACAAGCACAGATAACTTGTGATAACTAATAGAAAATTACACTATAATTGTGGAGGCTAAAGTGAAGAGCTCTGGACCATAACCTGCTAAGAGGCATTTATCGCTGAAACGTGTTATGTATTGCATTGTATTCCCCAACCTCTCCTCTGTCCCTTGGGTAAGTCAGACAGCCAATTGGGAACATGTACATGTGGGTGAGAGTCCTCTGAAAAGACTTATTTTTTGTCACACATTCCTATCTGAGCATTTTCCTCCATTTTCTATTTTGGCACTTAGCAGATTTTGGTCCAGAGCTCAAGTGTGCCCTTCAGGGAGAACAATAACTTTACATATTGCTCCCTCCACCATAGAATAGACACTCATGAGAACTGAGGTGTAGTAATTTCCAGCCATACAGACTTACAATGGGAAAAGACTTATAAAAGTGGGGAAAAAAACATTAAAATAAAGTTTGTCATATTTTATTTACTTTCTAGTGTATGACTCAGGACATCAGTCGCCATGAAGACCACCTTTACCACTGTCGACCTTCTGGCCATTGTGGCCGAACTGAGGGCCAGGTGAGTAGTCCAGCTTCATTTGAACTCAAAATGATAGTTGTAGCTCAAATAATAATGCTAAAAGCTATAGAGATCATTAGTTACACAGAAGTTTTATCAAAAGGCCAACACTATGATTTTTGCAGATTTATATTTTATCATAGAACCTTGAAGATATCTTTGTTGGGGAAAAATAGTGTCAGGATGCCTTTTCAGTTTTTATGTGATAAAAGTGTTTGTTGTAAGACTAGAACTAGGAAGCAGGAACATCAGACTTTATAGAACAAGGGCTTTAGGTGAAGGTTCAGCAGCCATGATGTATGAGTTTCTTTTTACCACATATTAGATGTTTGTGTTTGAAGACATATACAAGTTGATGATAATCACCCTATCTCTCACACAGGGTCATCGGGATGAGGGTGATACAAATCTATGATGTTGACGCGAAAACTTATTTGCTGAAACTTCAGAAGCCTGAACAAGAGCAGAAATGCCTGTTGTTGATCGAGTCAGGCACGCGCATTCACACCACAGACTATGAGTGGCCCAAAAGCCCTGCCCCTTCAGGTTTCTCCATGAAGGTTTGTTCACTGTTATGACTGAGCAGCTTCAAGTTGTTGTGGGCACAGGAGAGGTATATTTTGTTGATAATACAAGATAATTTTTTGTTAAATTTGTATTTATTTATTTATTTTATTATTATTATTACTTTTTGAGAATCCTAAATGATCAGACTTTAGTCCTGCTGAATTTTAGGTTACTGTTTATTGTATATCCTAGACCACGTAGGGTTCTCAAATAAAAAAAATTATATACTGTGTATAGAGCACCTTAACATCAACCAGTCAGGTCAGTGTCATTAATGTTATTCTTACTGTGTTACAGGTACCCCTTGTCTTTAAAATACTTGTATAATTCTAATATAAATGTTACAACTTATAAAGATTAAAGCATACCATTGCAGTACAGTATATCTAAAGGTATAATGGACCACTCTAGGGATTAAAACATTGGGACTCCATTCTGATATATTTATTACTGTACAGTATATTCAATTTATTAGTTTATTGTTATATTGGTCAAGTGTTCATCTCTGCCTGTTACAGTTATTGTTATATTAGTCAAGTGTTCATCTCTGCCTGTAACAGTTAAGGAAACATCTACGTAACAAACGTATTGAGGATGTGCACCAGCTTGGAGTTGACCGTATCATAGACCTGAAATTTGGGTCTGGAGAGATGGAGCATCACATCATACTGGAACTTTATGACCATGGCAACATCGTCCTGACTGACCACTCATACACCATTCTTAATATTCTTCGTCCCCGGAAGGAAGGAGAGGATGTGAGGTAAATGAGTAGAGTTGGTGGAATCTTATGGTATGCTAACTCAGAGGGTAGACAGTAGTGTACTGTATCTAACATGGCTGCTACTGTACTGTATAAAACTGACTTCAATAAGTATATTATATCCAGAAGGAGAAAAAGAGCAGAAAAATTATCAGCAATTTGTATAATATGGCCAGTTACATTACTTGGGTGTTCAACAATAAATTATTAATTGTCATGACTAAAGACGCCGCCCTTGTTCAGACCATTATGTACGTAATACATTTTAGACAGTGGAAAATATTTGAATGGTCATTACACAATGATATTAGGTTAATAAATTATATAGTACAGTAATTATTTTGAGGGCTTCTTTTTATCCTCTTACATGTGTAGAAGATTTTCAGGTGACCTTTACATCAGCCAGTGTACAGGTATCTGTTTAAGGTTAGTCCTGGCAGTCGGAAATTAATTAAATGTTTGAATTTTCCAGATTTGCCGTGCATGAGACTTATCCTGTAGATCGTCCACGGCTGCCCAAACCTCCCTTGTCACTTGAGGACCTGAAGAATGCATTGTCCTCAGCAAAGGAGAATACTCCTCTGAAGAAGATTCTCAATCCTCTACTGGGTGTGTACAGTGTAGCCAGAAGAATTGAGACCAACGTTGATTCTCATTCATTTGCTATACTGTACTGTACTGTATTTTGTTGTTTTTAGCTACCTTAATTGAATAATTTTATTGGTCCTGGTAAATAGGTACCATAGGGGGAGCTACTTATGACAGCAGTAACACAGACAACATTGTTTTGCCACTTAATAGGATTTTTTTTTTGTCAACTTCCACGTATCATGACCATGATTTAATTGTCAATCACAATGTTATACAGTTGATGCAACTAACTATAATGTAATGGTCAGCTTTTACCTTCACTTATGATGAATCATTGTTGTTTCAGACTGTGGTGGAGGTGTGGTGGACCATGTACTGTTGGAAGCTGGGTTCCCTGTTGGCACTAAGTGTGGCCATCATCTGAAAATTGACGATGACCTCACCAAGTTACACACAGCAGCAGCCAAAGCACAAGCTGTTGTCACAGAATGGTCAACAAGATCATGTACAGAGGTGAGAGGTGTGAAGAGACAAGATTAATAAACACTTTGTTACAGTTGGGGTATAACCTCTTGTGTACACTCACTCCAAAAAGTATCTATATGATTTTGTGAGACAATATGACAGAATGAACAAAGCATTTGACATTCCTACTGATACAACAGGGGTGACTCCTGGTGTTTCAGTAGGGTTGTCAAAATGCGAGATTATCTGACCCCCTCTTTGCATTAACATAATAAAATAATGAAAATGGTGTCCCTGTAGTGAAGAGGTTAATGGTGAAAATGGTTAAAAGACAAGCTCTTATGGGGACCACTGTTTTGTAGTCTGGTAATTTTTTTTAAGATTATACTGGAGATGATTCCCTTCGCACATACAACTCTTATATTGTGTCCTGACCACTGCAGTGAGGTTCTCAGGAAATTTAAGAAAATGTATTTCCTAAAGACTGGTAACACATCATAATTATAAGAAAAAATATAAATTAAAAAAGAATGTACAGTATGTATTACCTTATGTAGATTATTACCTGCACAATCTCCATGATGGATAAATGTATACAAGACCAAGAACGTTGACAACACTGGTGGCTACAGAGCTGGGGAGGCTTAACCCCATGTGCACTGGGTTGCCTCTTAGCTGAATAAAATCCTCTGGTTTTAGGGCCGGATTGATAGTCATTACGAAGCACAATGCCAATTGATAGTGTTCGTGCTGGTCTATTAATAGTCATCCCGATAAACGAGGTATCGGAAGGGAACCGTACGCATATCCCTGAAATGTTGGAAACAACATCGGGTAGCTACCCCCACTCGATAGCTGCCTTACGACAAATAATAATCATCATTATATTTTATGAAAGTTCTTCCAGTACTTTATATTACAGATGTCTACGTCGAATTATATTATTTTTTTTTATAAGAACAATTAAAAGAAGTGTTAATACGGATAAATGAACTTTCACAACACTGTTATGAACTTGAAACATTATTGGAATGTTGACATCACAGCTCCGACTTCGATGACGACTGCTGTCTGTGCTGTGAGCCTCATCTTCAATTAACAATTACTTCTGTTATCATTTAAGGTATGTTTCTTATCTTTATTCATTCATACAATATTTTTGTCGTAGTAGTAATAAAATTTCAACCATCTGAAACACGAAATACACTTATTTTTTCCGGAATGGGGCAAGCCAAGTGAGCTCACTCTATCTTGAGTTAGCAAGGAAAATATCACAGTTTTGGGCCCAGTAATATAGTTTAATATAAACGTTAATATTTATTTTCAACAAGATATAAGCTATGGGGTACGATCTACAGTGTCTTGTGTGTCAGGCAGAAATATGCCGACATAAGTAAGTAGAAGATTTTCTTTTCTTTATTCTTTAACTTAAATATTTACTGTCACTAATAAAATAAAGAATAAGTACAGCTTACTATCAATACAAATAATTTGCTCTAAAATTCTGCAATACTCGGCTACATCACAGTTTTAATAATACACTCAACACTGCACTCTTTGGTTAAAAAAAATCTATTTACTTTTAATTTTTACAAATGATATTTTCATTCATCTAAGTATAACTACATTTTTTAGCTATATTCTAAACAATATCAGAAAACCACACAGCACAGTAGACAGTTTGGGAGTGACAATTAACTAAACTTGGTTGTCACAAAAAAAGCCCATTGGATGCACAATTGATCAACTTGACGTAGTTTGGCTCTTAAGAAGTTTCTATGCAATTTGAAGTGTGTGTACAATGCAAGGCAGGGGCCCCCACTGCACTGACATGAGAGGTCAGTTTTAACTTTGCCATCTGTATGATGGTATTCAGTCGGCAACACTTACAAATTTCTATAAAAAACATTGGTTAATTGAAAAAATTGTGGATCAGTCATATTTAATATTTTGTTAGGTTAGGTTATGTTAAGTTAGGTGAAGTTTAAATTCGATTAGATTAAGTTAAAGTGAGGTTAGGTTAAGTTAGGCAATTTTCAAGGGGGCAGTTGTCCTAGAAACAAATGTTATTAAAAAATTTAAATTAAGAAATTATAAATAAAATGATAATGTTCTGATTTTACAGCATGCAGACCTACAGACAACACCTTGATGACATCGAAGAAATAAGGATGTTTAGTCAAGTTGATGATATGAGGAAGCGACGATTTAATATAAGACGAGATCCTTTTCAGTATTATAATGAAAAGGAATTTATTCAGTGCTACAGAGCATCTAAGGACAGCACCAGGGAGCTGCTTACAAAAATCAGACATCATCTCCCGCATATTCACAACGTCAAGACTTTGTGACAGTCTGCAGGCCGGTGGTTATCGAGGCTTTCTCCTTGGTTATAATGAATATGCGTTGCGTCCATACTTACTCACTCCAATCCATAATCCAGCTAATGAAAGGCAGAGGAAATATAACAGATCTCATATTAAAACAAGAACTACAATTGAAAGGACATTTGGAGTGTGGAAGAGGAGATTTGCTGTCTTGCAACATGTAAGAGCAAAGCTGTCTACTACCAAAAATATTATAATTGCATGTGCAGTTCAACATAATATTACTTTGATTTCTGGACTTCCACTGGACATAGAAGACATGCATTAAGAAGTAATACGGCTTTAGTTAGTTAGGTAACTACTATGTTCCATACATTACTTTAAGTGGTGAACGATTCATGTCATTAAATTTTAATAAAACATTGGTTCTATATTATTTCTTTATTAAAGCCTTTTCATTCATTCTTAAATTATGTTGCCTTAAATTGTCTAATTTTTACTTCATTGAGGTCTTTAATAAGGAAGCTTACCTCAATATGTATGATAATTCACCTGTGAGGTAATATGAAGAAAACCAAAGGAAAGAAATATAGATTTATTTTTTCTAAATGTGCAAAAATTAAGAAAATAAAAATTATTTTTTCTATACAGGACTCTGCATTTCATTAATATCACAGCTTATATTATAGATATACATAAAAAAAATCTGAACTGCCATACTTTGTACAATATTTGCACAAAATAGAAATGCAGAGACAAATTTTCTCTTGAATTAAATTATATATGAATGCATAAAAATTAATAAACTAAAAATCTCCTATATCCATTACTTTGCATATAACAACTTGTATTATAAATCTACCCCCCCCAAAAAAAGAACTTTAGTCTATAGCACAGTAAAAAGAATTGCAATTATTGAAAATCACCGCATACCTGTATATCATAAAAAAAAAAAATCTTAGCTACCATACTTAAGACAGCAATTGTAAACAATGGCAAAATAAAGAAATGTAGATTTATTTCCTTTAAATAAAATTATTTTAAGGTGTAAGACATAAGAAAATAAATTTATAATCTAGATGCCATTTTACGATATATCACAGTACCCCTGTATATAGTAAAATCATAAACATTGCATATGACTGTATGTTATTACTCAACCATCATTCATAAGTTTTAGCCATGGCATCATATGCAGTTGATGCTTTCCTTAAACATGTATCTAACAATTCAAAAGATTTATTAATTTTTTCAAGCGTCTTTTCAATCACTCTAATAACAGTTTCACTTTATCTTTCTTTGAATGTATGTGCTGATATTATGGCCTTCACTTTCAGTTCCTCCTCATGCTCTCTTTTCATTATGTACAATTTATATTTGTGGAACTCCCCTTGTCTTTTCTCACAATGACTGGTGAGGCAGGAACAGAGGGTGAAATTAGAAGTCGTAAAACAGAAGTAGATGGTGCAGAAGACACAGTTGATAGCCCTGGTGTTGGAACAGGCAAAACAAGAGGATCATGGGAGTGAGGAAGTTCAGGTACACTTGCAGAAGTCTTCCGCATGACACGAGCACTGGGTGGTGATTTCTTCTGAAGCTAATGATAGTTTTTCTGGAGGACCACCACCCGCTCTCCTATATCTCTGGTTTTAGTTCTGAAAGAAACAGAAGAATATAAATGCTTTATACAGTACTAGGCTACAGTCATATCTGCATTAAAATTTACTATGATATGCTGGTAAAAAGGACCCGTGCTTCTGATAAGTTTTTGGAGGTGACCCTTCAGAAACTGAGCATAGACCTGTTTGAAGCTATCTTGCCAGAATAATTTGGCTTGCTAAGTGTGTATTGCCAGGCAACTAATGGAAAGTACACTAACTCTGCAGAATAATATCTGTTTCATATAGATTTATATGCTGTATAGCTTGGTTCTAGGATAATTGCCCCCCAATGCCAGTGAATAACTGGCACAAAACATGGAAATAACCTAACTTTAACTTAAAATAACCTATCCTTACCTAACTTAACCTATTTTAACCTAACCTATTTTTAACTTAACCTAACTTTATTTTAACCTAACCTAACTTTAACTCACATGACCCATCACTTAAATACTGTAATCCTACTCAATTTAGTAACCTAATGGCAAAAATCCTTATTTTTAAATACTTAACTTAGAAATAAGCATATACTTACTCCTTTTTATGTTGGAGCTCCTCTTGAGGTGCTTGGCTGTAAGAGGGAGTTGATCTTGGTTGCTGGCATTTAATGAGGCAGTAATGTCATCCTAGGCCTTTCTTTTGCTGTCATTTATTGTGTTACAGTACTAGTAGACCTGTCCTCGACGACTGGCCTTTGCTCGATAAGGCGCAAAAGTGCTATGTGCAGAGTTACTGACAGGGCTGCAGAACGTTCTCTCCTCTCCATGTTTGATAACACCTGCACAAACATTGTTGCCAAGTACATAGATGAAAAAATTGTCTGTAATTTGTTTAGAACAGATACTAAAGTTCAATTTGAAAAAGATGATATTTTTCAATATATTATTGTGCCGGTATAAAATAACAACTAAATATCTCTCTAAACTGTCTTTCTAATTATGTGAAATAATGCATTTGGCAAGCGCGCGTGGGAAACGTTTGTGCTGCCATACGAAACGAAATGTTGTGTTTACACACGCTATATTCCTAGTTAAAGGCTCATGTAAGTGACTAGCAATATGGTACTGAGCGTCGGGTGGTTGCATCCCGACACACGATGCATCGTGATGATGATGGTGATCGTCATTATCGTCGTAATGACTAGGAATACGGCCCTTAATCAGATCAAATATTAAAAATGGTGTCCCCGTAGTGAAATAATGATCATTGGTGGACTTTATAATTTTGACACAAGATTCGATGATCTACACACATTGTGGTGAAAGGTTAAGCAACAAATAGAAGTAAAGAATGAGGAAAAGTACATAGCCCTTCTAGGGGCTGGCTGTAATGGTAAGTTGTGGATACTCTTTTCAAAAGTGACAAAGGGGTATACTTTACTTTGTTGTCAATTAAGATATACTGAGGTAGTCATTTCTGGTCCACTGGTAAATCATATAGGTGTTATACTGTTAGGTAGTGTTTATTATATTACAATTTCTTGTTTCAGGGTTACATTATTAAGAAAGTAGAGCAGCGAAAGAAGGCAGATGGCAGCACTGAGGACGTGCCAATTTTCCAGGAGTTTATGCCATTCCTCTTTGCCCAGCATGCACAGTCACCCAGTGACAAGTTCCCCACCTTCAACCAAGGTAAGTTATAGGCTGCTACACTTTGTTACATAGAAAATGGATTTGTACTGTGTGTGTGAAAGGAGGGGAATCGTATATTTTCTTCAACCTAACAAAATAATTTTAAAACTTATTAAACTAATACAGTGTATTTTATTTATATCATTGTTTTACTTTATGATTTTCATTTTTGGCTGCAATGCCAAATATATTACCCAATCAGTCAATCAACCTGACAAAGTGCATGTGGCCTGTTAAAAAAAAGCAAAACACTTTTGAAATGGTTGACTGTGAACAAGTTGGATACATTTGGTGTCTTCACATGTGATCTTCATGATGGAGTTTGCTAATGATATTATTAGTTAACTTCGATATTGTGGTCTTTTTTCTGCAGCTTGTGATGAATTTTACTCCAAGATGGAAGCCGGCAAGATTGATCATGCAGCTGTACAGAAAGAGAAGGAAGCACTCAAAAAGTTAGAAAATGTGAAGCGTGACCATGAGCGTCGCCTGCAGGAACTCAGCAACACACAGAAGACTAATGAATCGCAGGGCCATATGATAGGTTTGTATGTGTGACGTGTGTGTGTGTGTGTGTAAACAAATTTAGAATCATTCCCATCCACTTAAGAACACTACTACAAATTGTCTATACATCTCAAACAATTTACTAAGGAATCCTGCCATATTGCTGTTACTTGGGATGTGAGTATCATAAGTGAGATAGTTTTTCGTTAATTGTATTAAGACATGGATTATGTATATGAAAATAATTCCTATATAGAGATAGAAATAACATGAAGTATGACTGAAGTATTGGCCGAGCTCTCTGACTTGTGGTAACTTCAGCCACCAGCACAAGGGACTGGAGTGGGAGACATGTGTGGGAGTGATTTATTTGAGTATAAATATCCCATAGTTTGCACATGACATAATAATTTTAGTAATTAACTTAATACATATGAGCACAGGTTGTGATAATTTATTCGGTTGCTCAGCAGTTGCGAAACTTTTTGGCATCACTCGTATATACTGCGTCTCCATATGCCCTGGTTTATTCACTGATCAGTTTGTTTACATGCAAAAGTAGCCAAATCGAGCTATCATGTATCAATTAATTTTAAAATAGAAATTATAAAATAAAATGTTATAAGGCAAAGTTTTAGTAGTGCTGTTACTGTGTGTGCTGTGTAAGTGTCTTGGCATGTCACCTCACCACCTGACTCCGTCACCTCACCCTTTGCCTCATTAGCTCAGCTCGGAATTTACATTGATTTATTACTGTATTATTTTACTCTTATTATTGTATGTACAGTACATTTAAAGAAATATTTATATTTGCACAATAATTATAAATAGACCCAGAGCAGAAAAATCCAGGGTTACCCCAAGTGGTAGGTCTTCCCACTATGCACCAACCATGTGAGGATGCTGCTAAACATGATGCAATCTTTCATAACGCCAGGATCCCTTGTCCCTAGGCCCTGAGCAGAAAGGATTGGAGTGATTATCTCGCCATTTTCTCAGATTTTCCGGTAATTGCGCATTATTTCATAATCGATATTTGCACCCAGACCCAGAAATATAGATTTGGACAGATTTTCCTCTTTTATTTTTCTTCTTGTTTTCCCTTCTTCTTCTTTAGGAAATGCTCCTGATTTTCATCCTTGGAATTTGTTCCCAAACCCGGAATTTAGTGAATTTTCTGGAAAATTTCCGAGCAAATTTCAATTCTGGCTATTGGAGAGTTCCGGGTTTGAGGGATTCCATCTGACAGAGATAATACTAATTGTATCAACTTGGTGCCCAGATTTTAGAATACAGTCTCTCCTTGACTTATGACAACCCGGACATACGACGGCCATGGTCGTATAAAATATTTTTCACATTACGTATTTTCGAGTCCCTACGTTAGTGATCGCGCTGTGTAATGACAAAATTTTCTTTTGTAATTCCCTTTAAAATGGCTGGCAAGCATAAAGTGAGAGTTTTCGTGGTGCTGAGAAGAAAAAGAGACACCCATTTAGAATTTCTATGTACAGGTATTATTTTTGCCTTTTCGACTTACTACTAATTCGACTTACGACCTGGTCATCGGGACGGAACCCTGTCGTAAGTCGAGGAGAGACTGTAATTGTATCACTTCAACATCGAGGTTTTAGAGACATGGCTTTTACATCAGCTGTGCTCAAACCAAACAACAACATACCTGAAACTCTTGTCTTCCAGAGCTTAACAAGGATTTGGTAGATGCAACAATTCTGGTGGTCCGGAGTGCTGTAGCCAATCAGATTGACTGGCGACAAATTAAAGAGCTATTGGCAGAGGCTCAGGGCCGGGGAGACCCAGTTGCCCAAGCCATCAAGCAACTCAAGCTGGAAAGTAACACAATTACCCTCTCTCTCAGGTAAGGTTGAGGGCATCTTTTGGGCTCAGATATGTCACTCACTTTCTCTTTCTGTTATGTACTCTTGTAGCCTTAGTTATGATCACTATATAACTGAGCTACAGTATATCTGTGGTCATTGGATTTACTAATATACTGCAACATTGCTCCATTAGTATTTAGACTTGCTTGGTCAGATGCAGTCATGGAGAAAAATTCTGGCAACCCTTCATCCCAGCCATGAACCCTGAGACTCATGAACCTGTAAATCCAAGACATCACACATTGTTGAGCCCATAAATGGTGCACTGTGTTATATCTCGGATTCACAGGATTCATGGGTTGGATGGAGGACTGGCGGGACTTTTTTCAGTGACTGTACACCCACACAACCCCATAGTTTATTGGATGTATTCCTTGTTTTAGTAACCCCTATGACTGTGACGAAGATGATCTTTTTCTGGACTCTGATGAAGAACGTGAGGAAGGCAACGACTCCACAAATATGCGGCCAATAACGGTGGATATAGACCTAGAGCTCTCCGCTATGGCCAACGCTCGCAAGTCAGTTCTTGTTTATTTAACTATATTTCTAACTGCATTTATGTCTGGTGCATTAAATTTTATTTTTGAATTCTTAATATCACATTGCTGTTTAAAATTGAAGCATTGTGGTGTATGTTTAATAATTGTTTTTCAGTGTTAAGGCCTGTGTTTTAAATACTAATGAATGGCATATGGAGTGATGTGATGTAAAGTATACAGTGTAATGGTTATGTGACCTTCGACATATAGAAACATTATTATACTGTAAAGGTGGTACAGTTCATTACCTTAGTATATCCCATGTGTTATGAATACAGTTATATAGGTACTGCAGTTTACCTGAATTTCAAACTTTATTCTATTTCCTAACAGATTTTAAAGTCTTGAAATATGTTTTGTCAGGTATTTTGACCAGAAGCGTCAAGCAGCCAAAAAGGAACAGAAAACCATTGATGCCTCAGCCAAGGTGCTTCAGTTGACCACCAGGAAAACTAACCTGGCGCTGAAGGAGGTGGCCGCCAGCTCTAGCATCAACAAGGCGAGAAAGGTCATCTGGTTTGAGAAATTTCACTGGTTCATCTCCTCTGAAAATTTCTTAGGTGAGGGGAATGATAATAACTTATGTTGTTTGTAATTATGATGGAGGAAGTTGTGCTGTGAGAGCTATTATTCGTATACGTACGTGGAGTTGTAAGAAAATTATGAATAACCACAGATTAAAAAGAAGATAATAGAATAGGGGAGTGTCTTTTTTTTATTGACTGTCAGATTAAGTATGTTTATGTGGGTGAGGAGTAATAAGGCAATACATCATGTCAGTCTATAAGATGACTGGCCACTGGTGAGATTATTATTACTTTCCTGGAAGCAGTTGAGGATAAATTACACACACACACACATATGTATGCTTGAAACCACAAGCAGACATAAACTCTTCCATTCTTCAATGAAATCCTTAGTTTTAACTCCATGTAGGTCACCCCCATTAGGGTGTCAGAAGCTGAATTTTACCATGAGTTCATTATTAAAAAAGAAGATGGGGGAGAGGAAGTAAAACTAAAAGTGATCAGAAATTACTGTGATTGAGAAATGATGAAAACTTTGTTGATTAATGAAGAATATGCGAGTATTTGCTGATCTTTTTCATGTTGATGTATATCACTCTTAGACATGCTTTGTGAGGCCGTGAATGAGAAAATTTTACCAATATTCCTTCAGTCTCACTGTGAGAGGAATGATTTAATATTCTTGCAAATAATTAATTGTAAAACTCTCTAATGCTTATTAAGATGTGTAAGACCTCTTGTCTTTATTGCAGTCATTGCAGGACGAGACAGTCAGATGAACGAGATGATTGTGAAGCGTCACTTGCGTCCTCGTGATGTGTATGTCCACGCCGACATGCACGGTGCCCCGAGTGTGATCATCAAGAACCCCAGTAGCAAGGAACCACCTCCCAAGACGCTCCATGAAGCAGGGATCATGGCTCTCTGTTACAGGTAAACTTTAGATTTATACAATGTATTTAAGTGAAAGGCAATGGTAGGAGGTTTTTTATTTTTTATTTTTTATTTCTTTTTACTGTACAGGGATTAGCCCACCCGGGCACAGGTCACTGATCCACATCTGGGCCTGGGGGCAAAAATTTAATAATAATACAGTACGGTAATACTACTACTAGTTGTTCTACTACTACTACTAATAATAATTCATAGTAAATAAAATTTATAATAAAAAATACACTATTAAAAATAACATAATAAATTAATAAAGATAACAATAATTATAATAAAAACACTGTAATAATAATAATAATACAAAAATAAAGAACCACAAAGAAATAAAAAAAAAAGATCAAAAGTGAGAAACAATACAGTAGAGTAAACCCTCGAAGAACCTGACCCGGGAAATCCGGATTTCAGAAGATCCGGACCAAAAATTTTGGGATTCTGGGCTAAGAAGCCATTCTAGAAGTTACCCTAAGAAGCATCCCCAAACCAGAGCAAAGAAGATTTCAGGCCGGTGGGTGCTGCTTGACCCGTCAGTTGCTTGGACTCGGGTGCTTGAGGAAGTGGGAAACAGAAACAGAGTTGACAATTGTTGTTTGTGGGAATATTATTTCATTCACTCCAATAATGATACAATGTTTCATATGTTATCATCGGTAAATGCATGGTTTACGATGGTCAAGTGGATACAGCGTTTGCCTCTTGTGCCAGGAGTCTGTGGTTTGATCCCTGGGTACTCCCAGTTCACTAAAGATTACAATTTGGGGAAATGAATGGTCATGCTGCCTCCTTGTGTACTGAAGGCTTAGTATACAGTGTGCTGTATCCATACAGTCCTTAATAGGCAGTCATGTCTATGGAACCCACTTTCTTTATCTTTTCAGTGGTAGGTGCTATATGTTAGAACAATGTGTAGATGCTATGCAGAGCTGTGATAAAGAATAAACTACAGTTATTTACTCTCTCCTCAGCCGAGCGTGGGAGGAAAAAGTGATAACATCAGCGTGGTGGGTATGGGGGGAGCAGGTGAGCAAGACAGCACCAACAGGAGAATACCTCACTACTGGTGCTTTTATGATCCGAGGTAAAAAGAATTTCCTGCCACCGTCTCACCTCATCTACGGGTTTGGCTTCCTCTTTAGGCTGGAAGACGAGTCTATTTCTAGGTAAATATTTATCTGTGGAGTGAGTACTACCATTGTTACCTAGAGAGACATGTGAAGTGACAAAAGTGTAATAGTGTTTTCATTGATTTTGATATTGAAACAGTTTATTTAGTCAGAAAAATACAGATACATTTTTAGCAATATTAATTTGTTCTTCATGTCTTGGTCACTTGAGTAGTCTTCCCCAACCTTATCACTCTTACAGAGTTTGTGCACTGTGTTTGTTGTGGACTTGAAGTACCAGAGTGTTGAAGAGTTGAGAATGCTAATTACTCTGTTTTTAGATTTTTAGCTTGAGATAGTTCATATGGTCTTTTATTTCTACACTGGTAATATAACAGTAATGGGTAAGTAGGAGTGTGGACAGTATTCTAATATTAACAATTATGAAAACAATGCTTCTGCACATTAAGAACTCTGTTGGTTTGTAGACATGCTGGAGAGAGAAAGATACGTTCTGTGGAGGAAGACGTGAGTAGCATCTCCCTAACAGAAACCACAGATGACCACAGCGACCTTCCTCTGGTTGAAGAAGAAAACGATAAACAGCTGGAGAAGGAGGAGCAAGAAACAGAGGATGCATCTCTAGTAGACAAGAACCAAGGTAGGATGACCACAGTGAGACAGTATGTACAATTGCGAGCAAAAGTCCTGTCGCCTCTTCTGTTGCTTCACAAACCCCGTGATTCAGACTTGTGAATCCGAAGCAGTGGTAACTGATGCATTATTATGTCCATAAATGCTTTGGATTCTTGAGTCTGAATTGCAGGGTTCGTGGAGCAGCAGAAGTGGCGACAGGATTTTGTTCACGGCTGTACTCTATTTATCCTTGAGAGTCGTTGGGTTGTATTCTTCATAATTTCCTCAGTGATTCAATTTCTATGATTAGACAAAGCCTTTCACCTTTTCCTTAGTGATTAGCAAAACCTTTCACCTTTTCCTCTGTGATTAGGCAAAATCTTTAACCTTAGTGATTCAGTTTTAGTGATTCGACAAATCTTTTCACCTTTAGAAGTATTGGGGGATATTAGTTTTTTAGTTTAACAAATTTATTGACAAAGCTTGTAGTACAGTTTGCCTATTCTGAGTAATTCAGTCAGGTCTTGACACTGAGGGTGGTATCACTTCTCACTGCCACACAGGACAGAGGTTCATACACAAAGAAATACATCATATTCATTAACAGCTATAAATATATAGAGGTAGATTCTACTTGTCTGAAACTTAATGTAGTACCCTAGGATAATTATTAATTACCCTTGTTAACAGTATTGCAACCAACCAAATGTTGTAATGGTAACATAGTATTCCTTGATTTTACTGCAGAGGTAAAATCAGAATTGGTAAAGGAAGATTCTGCTGATGAAGAATGTAGTGAAGAAGAGACGGATAAAGATGGAACAGTGGAATTTCCCGATACAGTTGTGGACATAAAGCATATTGGTGGAGATCAGTGAGTGTTGTACTGCACTTGTTGTAGTAGTGGTAGTAAAAATAATAGTAGCAGTAATAATAATTGTAGCATGACTAGTAGTAGTAACAATAATAGTATCACAGTAGTATACAGTAGTAATAATAATAGTGGTGATAATAGTAGCATAGTTTTGTCCTCCACGGCTTTTTACAAATTTTTAAAACAATCAAAATAAACAGATGAAGATGAATTTGATTTAAACCAGATGTGATATTTTGATGTATGATAAAAAGTTTTCAGATGAAGCTTAATGATAGCAATTTTTGTTATTACTGTCCAAAATTTTGGCCCCTTGAATGTGCTGAGGTAGGAGAGTTTGTCATGGTTAGTTTTAAGTTTTGTCTATCCAAAAAAATGGGATAGCATTATGCATTTAGGTGGGGTAGATGGCATGTAAGAGTGAATAATGCTGAATGATTATAATACTCCTAGATGTCATGAGGATTAGGAACCTCTGCTTATTTCACCTGATGATTAAGAATCCTAACCTTACCTCACCTCACCTAACTTAACTTAACTTAACCTAACCTAAGCTAATCTGACCTAATGTGACCTGATCTGACCTAACCTTACTTAATCTTCCCTGTTAGAGTCAGGTGTTTAATCATTAGGTGAAATACGTGAAAATTCTTATTTTTCATGAGATCCTAATTACTGTAGCTCTAAGCACTGTGAATTGTTCCGGTTTCCTCAGGTTTTCTATCCGTGCACGAACTGTCTCCACGACATCACAGCTGTCTGCACAGTCTGGTGAAACAAGAGAAGATGAAGACAGTACAGTGGTATACCTGGGAGATGACCAGCCAGTGACTATCAACAGGAGGAGGAATGATTCTATTAATAAGTATAATAAAGGTGTGCTAATTAACCCACTAATATTAGCTGGTGTATAAAATTCATTGTGAGTGCACACTGTCATGTCTTCTTAACCAAATCCATCACAGTATAAAAGAGAATGAAAGACATTTCTAATACTAATATATTTAAAGTCCAAGAAACAAGGCTGCATTTGTTAGAGGTGCCAATTCATGCCAGGCAGAATACCTGTACTCTTCTGAATTTTGGCTTGTGACTTTAATTAAAAAACACAATAGTTGTAAGTATTGAAATGATAAATTTGTTTATCTGGTTTGGACACTCTCTCTCTTTTCTTGAAATGCATTGCCAGTAAACTTAGATACAGTACTTACACAACCACTGCCAACACACTTGGATAGAGACAGATGATGCTGACCACACTACTTACACAACCACTGCCAACACACTTGGATAGAGACAGATGATGCTGACCATACTACTTACAGAACCACTGCCAACACACTTAGATAGAGACAGATGATGCTGACCACACTACTTACACCACTGCCAACACACTTAGATAGAGACAGATGATGCTGACCACACTACTTACACCACTGCCAACACACTTAGATAGAGACAGATGATGCTGACCACACTACTTACACAACCACTGCCAACACACTTAGATAGAGACAGATGATGCTGACCACACTACTTACACCACTGCCAACACACTTAGATAGAGACAGATGATGCTGACCACACTACTTACACACCACTGCCAACACACTTAGATAGAGACAGATGATGCTGACCACACTACACACCACTGCCAACACACTTAGATAGAGACAGATGATGCTGACCACACTACTTACACAACCACTGCCAACACACTTGATAGAGACAGATGATGCTGACCACACTACTTACACAACCACTGCCAACACACTTAGATAGAGACAGATGATGCTGACCACACTACTTACACAACCACTGCCAACACACTTAGATAGAGACAGATGATGCTGACCACACTACTTACACAACCACTGCCAACACACTTGGATAGAGACAGATGATGCTGACCACACTACTTACACAACCACTGCCAACACACTTGGATAGAGACAGATGATGCTGACCACACTACTTACACCACTGCCAACACACTTAGATAGAGACAGATGATGCTGACCACACTACTTACACAACCACTGCCAACACACTTGGATAGAGACAGATGATGCTGACCACACTACTTACACAACCACTGCCAACACACTTGGATAGAGACAGATGATGCTGACCACACTACTTACACAACCACTGCCAACACACTTGGATAGAGACAGATGATGCTGACCACACTACTTACACAACCACTGCCAACACACTTGGATAGAGACAGATGATGCTGACCACACTACTTACACAACCACTGCCAACACACTTAGATAGAGACAGATGATGCTGACCACACTACTTACACAACCACTGCCAACACACTTGGATAGAGACAGATGATGCTGACCATACTACTTACACCACTGCCAACACACTTAGATAGAGACAGATGATGCTGACCACACTACTTACACAACCACTGCCAACACACTTAGATAGAGACAGATGATGCTGACCACACTACTTACACAACCACTGCCAACACACTTGGATAGAGACAGATGATGCTGACCACACTACTTACACCACTGCCAACACACTTGGATAGAGACAGATGGTGTTTCTTTGAGTGATTATAGAAGAAGTACTAGCTAGAGTATCATGTAAAGGACAGAAATGTTTAGTGACTCAGAAATTGATTGAAATAAGTCCCTAACCCTATCAAATAACAATCAACACCTGTAGTTTATTAGATGGAGGTTTCTCTGTATAAATGTTTCTTTGGTTGTAAAGTACTGTATAGTTATTTCTATAATTTTATTGTGACAGGCAAGAAGGGAGACAAAAAAACAAACCCCAAAGCTGGAAGTCAACAAATGGATCAGCAAAGTACGCAGGAGCAGAAGTGTCAACAAGGTACGGAACACAAGGATGGGCCCCCCAAGCGAGGTCAGAAAAACAAGATGAAGAAGATGAAAAAATACCGCGACCAGGATGAAGAAGAACGAGAGATCAGAATGCAGTTATTGCAGGTGAGGAGTATGGAAGCCGAGCGTTAATCTTCTTGTTTCTGAAGCATAACTTTAATGGGGGAACTCACACCGTCACATATACAGCATGCCCTGACAATTCGTGGACCTCGATTATTCGCAGATGACACCCTGGATGTACCCAAGAATGTCTAAGGGTAGTTTTAAAGTTGCTGGCATTTTCGCGGCTGGGACAGGGAGCCATTCGTTCTAGACACAGTAATTTCTTTTACCTGTATTGTAACAAACACAAAACACATACAAATAAATAATAATGTGAAAATCCTCTCACAAATAATCAGAAACAAGACAACAAAATGTGAGTTTACCCTCAAGTTAACTCCACGCTTTGTTATATATACAATACAGGTAGAAGAAATAATTGTCCTCGGGGCAAACACATGAGTAAAAAATGCACCCGTCCCCCTGGTCAGCAAATGTTATTCGCTTATTTGGCTATTCGCTGCCATTTTGAGAACCTAACCCCTGCGAATTTTAAGGGCGTGCTGTACCTTCCATAGGTATTGGAGGGTACTGCCACCAGTTTGAGGATCACAAGGTTGGAGTGTGATCTGTGGCAGTCTGGTAAGATGAGAAATTTGGAATTGATTTCCTTTTTGGTGATGACTCAACGTGCTGGTAAATATGTACATGTATTAGAAATTTCATCTCAGTGTGTGACCGAGGAATTACTTCTCCAGCATAGATTACAGTAATTGAAACTTAGTACAGTATTTGTATGTACAATATTATAGTTAAAAAGCTCAGGCAGTTTTAATAATTACCACTTTGCATCATTACTTATGGCAGTTTGAACTTCCCGTGTTGTGTATTTGGCTTCTTTGTAGTGGCAAACAAATTTTAATGGAGACATTTTGTGTGTTGTAGTCAGCAGGTAACAACAAGGATCAGAAGAAAGGTAAAGGTGGCAAGAAAGCTGGTAAAGAGATGAAAGGAAAGGGCCCAGTGCAAAAGGTTGGACCTAAATCCACAGGACTGAGTAGCCATCCTAACAGAGGTAACCTGACACACATCACATTGCCTGAAGACACAGACACCCAGGTCAAGAAGGAAGAGCGCCAGGAAGAGGAGGAGGATGAAGACGAGGCAACACAGGTACAGTACTTGTATTATTTGTCATTCCAGTTTGTGATACAGATATGCTGGAGATACATTTTGGAGGTTTGAGTGTGTGTGCATATGTGTTTTCTGTTTTGTGTTGTGTGTATGTGTTGTGTTTTTTGTGAGTGTATAATGCAAGCATTTTCCTGCCATGATACAATGCAGGGTAGCTGAACTGGTTGTGATCTGGTTCTTAACATTCTAGTGAATTACTCCATCTACTTTGTAAAACATTAGTCCACCTGTGAATTATTCCACCTTCAACAAATTCACTTGCCAGTGTACTCTTAATTATATGATGCACCAGAGTTAGTTTATAAGAAGGGAACCTTATCCTCCATTTTGGTCAAGAATCAAAACAAGCCTAAAACTGTCTGTTTTGAACTTGTAAACATAAGTATAATATCACAAATGTAAAAACCTAATACAGTATGAATATTGGCAGAACATTTTTAAATAAATTTATGAAATTCTCTCTTTTATTTTACAGCTTGCAGACGACCTGAATATTATCAATACACTGACAGCGATGCCAGTAGCCGAAGATGAACTCCTCTTCACAGTCCCGGTGTGTGCACCATATACTGCCATGACAAACTTCAAGTGAGTACTGTACTGTATAGCCAAATTTTAGGTGTCTCACAGGTATTTGTGATGTACCGGTAAACTTTGTTATAGCGCTCAAGGAGATGATGTTTAGGATGCTCCACTGAACTGTACATGTGTATTACTACAGAAAACTTAATATAAGTGTAACAGTAGCTGACTTCTCAAATAATTTTATCCTGGAAATATCTTGGTTTATTTTATCTTGTTTTTTAATATACTGTACAATACAGTCTTTATTTTGTGATAATTTTCGGGATTATTATCATTAAAGTCATGTACAGTAATGAGATCGGTGTTACAGGAAGTATGTAAGAGTAACTATGCTGATTTTTATGGTTATTAAAACTGTTATTTCTTGTGTCAGGTACAAAGTTAAATTAACCCCAGGACCTGGGAAAAAGGGAAAGGCCTGCAAGACTGCTGTGACACTGTTCATGGGGGACAAGTCGGCCACTCCCCGAGAGAAGGACTTGTTACGAGCAGTCAGAGACCAAGACCTGGCGAGGAACCTGCCGGGTAAAGTCAAAGTGTCTGCACCCAATATTACAAAAATTAAAAAATAACCAAATGTGAGAGATACTCAATAGTACCTTTGTGTGTATGTACAGTATGTAAATAATGCACTTCATCCAACATTCATGCTTTTCATCCTGGCTTTATTATTTTCCACATTGTATCTTGATTTTGAGGACATTAAACTTTCTTTCTCATGTAAAAAAAAAATTGTACTGTTTCCCATATTACTTTTTAAAAGAATGAAGTGAAACAAGTATTTCTTCTAAAATCATATTCTCGTGGTGAGGTGAAAAATAAGTGTTTCTTTTCTCAAAGATCATATTTTCATAGAAATTTATACCAATATTTTAGTAGTATTTTCTTCCATTGAAAATGAGATAGGCCATACAGGTATTATTTTTACACATCTCTGCATAACACAGGGGTGATTGTGTAGGTAGGGGAAGTAGTGGCCCTTCTACCGGTTCAGTTACCTGCACTTATACCTGTTACAGTGGCTGGCGTGTTTTGTGAGATGTGATTTGTGTTTGTTTATATCGTATTAAAACTCCTGGAATGTCTTTAAGGAACCTCATAAAAGTAGCCAGACTAAGGATGCAAGTAGATAAGCATTCCACAGAGTTGCCACATCTCACAAAACCCACCAGCCACTGTACCAGGTATAAGTGTAGGTGACTGTATGTGGACAAATGCCAAACTATGAATAATATGTAGAATAATTGGGATCTCATTTTCTAATTCCTTGTGATAATTGAGGTGACTTAAAAGTGAGAAATTGTTGGTGTATCAAGGATGAAGAGAGAGGAGTAAAGGGCATTGTGCAGGCAGATTCACTTGCTGGTAGCCCCTGTGTTTTGTATATACGACTGTTATTTATGATATAATAAATGATGGAGAGAGAGAAACACTTTAGAATATAATATCAAAACCTTTATTTCAAATACACAAAACACATAACATATCCTAAATAACAGACATACAGTATAAGTGATACTCTATGACTGCCAGTGAGTGAATCCCGCACCACCGAAAGTTTAGTGATAATTAGTTTCACCGGGTAAACTTGACTTCTATATATTCAGGTATAATTACAGATTTAGGTAAAGGAGAAGTACTGTACAAGGAGAAAGCATACTACCTAGACACTTCTATGAACCACCATTTTTTCTGCAAGAGAGTTGCCATGTAAGGCTTAAGTTAGGTGTGTTTCTGAAATGAATATAAATGTTGGACCATAATTGTCAAAAAATTCACCCGTCCAATGATGATTGGAGTTTGGCAATTGAGTTGTTGAATACAATTAGTTAAACTATCATCATCTAAGAGAAAATCAAAATAAGGATTAATAAAATTTTTAATAATTGTTTACATTAAATTGAATTGGAAAATTTTTAGGTTTATAATACTGTACGTACTGGTTTTGAATCAGAAAAGGTTGGTATCCTTGCGTCAGCTCTCAGAAATTTTTTTGGGCTATCGCCAGACCAGTCAACCTTCAGCCTATACACACTACACACCATTAATCTCACAAGGCTTGGCTTTTGCGAGGACATCTGTCCATGACTGGAAGCTTTTTGGTAAAAAACAAATAGAAGTTCAGTATTTACACAAGTATTTATTTTTTACAAAACCCTATTCAGGGCAGTGTTATTGACTACAGTATATATTAAAGCAATGAGCTTATTTCACTCATGTCAAAAACTAGTTTGGCATGTGAACAACCTTCCATCTGTTTCCTCAGAGAAGCATGCCAGGTGCTTGTTCACTGCCTGTGTTTGATAAATCGCAGTCAAGTTGCATATATACCGGTATATGTGTACTACAGGGAAATGTAATTATAAATTGTAATTCATATTATCTTTGTATTCATATTGCTTTTTGAACACAAGAGAAATATAACTTGATTAGGTGTTTTTTGAACACGAAGTAATTATTGTAAACTTTAAGTTGCAAATAAAATATCTAGTAAATTATATCTATCATGGAACCTTCTCTCATATGCGGAGGAATGTACAGTACATTACAGTACATACAGAGGTGGGCTGTGGAAACACTTCACCACTAAACTAGCATTCTCAAATGGATCTCATGAAGCAAGAAATCACTCAGTCAAGCACTACCTGCTGGTTGGATAAATACAGGACCACCTTCCCTCTAAATAAGACCTGAAATAAAGAAGAAAGTTCACCCCTGAGCAGTGATGGACTGGCTACATGAATCAGCCCGGGAAAAAATGGAAGTGGCTCTCTTTCAACACCAGGAAGGACTATTGTTTAATAATAATAAAAAAATTTTGTCTACTTTTTTCCTTCTTTTCATACAAAAGTAACACAAGATTTACCATGTTTGCTATAATTTGTATTCAGAGAGCTTTAAGAACTTTTGTTAATTTGAAATATTGTTAATTACAGGCAGACTGCAGTGCTCACTATTTATTAATATGCGCAGTTCACCCTCCTCATTGTATTACTTATAAAAATTCACATGAATTACATGACTAAATGAATACAAATACCTAGTAACAACACAACTGTCAAAACATCAACCTTTTTTAAGCTTAAAAAAGTACTGCAGGTATTTTGACATTGTACAGAGAGCAAGTATTTGCCAACAGTGTGTAACATAGCCAGTACTCCCAACAGTGTGTAACAGAGCCAGTACTCCCAACAGTGTGTAACATAAGTAGTGCTTGCCAGTAGTGTAACCGAGCCGGTACAGTACTTGCCAACAGTGTGTAACATAAGTAGTACTTGCCAACAGTGTAACAGAGCCAGTACAATACTTGCCAACAGTGTGTAACAGAGAGCCAGTACTGCCAACAGTATGTAACAGCCAGTATTGCCAACAGTGTGCAAGAGAAAGCCGGTACAGTGATCCCTCGGTTAACGAATTACCTTCCATAAGATTCTTCACTTCGGTTAACGAGCAATCCCTCTATTAACGAATTCCTTACGAGCGCCCCTCAACATGTTTTCGCTTGCTCACTAGCTGTCGTATTAATCCGCCAATACAGTAATCGGTTCTAGGGCTTAAATTCCTTACTATTTTAGTAAATATCAAGAAGGTTGTACTATTCAATCATTTTAAAAGTTTTATATTAAATTTTATATTCATTTTAACAATTATTGAACATAATTGAAGTACAGGAAACAAGTTTTATACGCGCCAAACAGCCTGTCAACACACCAAACAGGCGTCAGTCAATGTGTCTTTTCAGTGGAGGTAAAATCTTGCTTTAGACTTTCTTCAACATAAACGATTTTTTCCATTTTTACAGAGTAATTATTGGTCATCTTGAAATTTATTTTACATATTGATGATATATAGTGCAGTGCAGTGCTAATTTAAAGAAAATATTCTTTATTTACAGCAATTAAACTTCAAATATCACGTGTTGAAATTGTTTTGAATCCAGCATGGGTCCCAAGAAATCAAGAAAAGCGATTTCAATCCAGGTGAAACAGGAAATTATTAAGAAACATGAAGAAGGCATTAGAACAAATGTTCTTAGCAAAGAATATGGCATGTCGACATCAACTGTGTCGACAATTCTTGCACAGAAAGACAAATTCAAGGAAGTGAAAGTGAGAGACAAATTTACCAGAGTGTTTAAAGGTAGATCCCTAATAGCAGAAACAGAGGTTACTTCTCATTTGGATTAGGGAAAAACAAATGAAAGGTGATTCAGTTTCGACCGAATTTATTTGTGAAAGAGCCAGGGAGATTTACGAACATTTAAAGACAGATCAACCTGGTTTTTCAGGCACAGAATTTGAAGAGTTTAGAGCCAGAAAGGGCTGGCTCGAAAATTTAAGAAAAGAAGTGAAATTTTTTGTGTTGTTAAGCATGGTGAGGCTGCCAGTGCTGATAAGGAAGGAGCAGCAAAATTTTTAGTGGAGTTTAAAGAACTGATGGATGAAGAAAATTATCTTCCACAGCAAGTGTCCAATGTGGACGAAACTGGGCTGTTATGGAAAAAAATGCCCAAAAGGACATTCATCACCAGAGATGAAGCCTCTTTACCTGGGCATAAACACATGAAAGACCATCTCACTCTATTGCTTGGTGCCAATGCTTCAGGGATTTCTGACTGAAGCCTATGCTTGTCTACCACTCTGAGAACCCCAGGGTGTTCAAGCAACAAAAAGTGGTAAGAGGACGGCTTGGAGTTTATTGGAAGTCCAACCAACAATACGGGTTGCTGCATTTATAAGGTTACTTGCAAGGAATGTAATGTTTTACTTAGGCCAGACAGGTAAAGATCTTGTAACTAGACTTAAACAACATAAATATAGTGTTAGGACAGGCCAGGAATCCAATGCTTTGTTTGTTCATTTGAGGGATAATAAGCATTGCATTGACTGGGATAATGCCTCCTCAATATTACCTTGTAATTCAATTGACAGTAGGAACATTATAGAATCTAGTCTCATTAAACATACCGAATCCGTCAACATGAATTTGAGTAATGGTATGTACAAACTGGATAATTTCGTAATTAAGAAGATTTGTAACCAGGTGAGAAGGTTGGGTCACCTTACCCTCTGACCTGACTACCGACTGCTGCCGTTCTTTTTGAAGATTAGTAGGGTCATTACCTAATACCTGACCATTGTGGACTTGATCTCACCCTCCTCTGTATATATACAGTAGTACCCCGATTTACGCGGTCAATTGAACCCACAGGGTACCGCGGAAAGTGAAAACCGCGTAAAGTGAACAACAGAACATATGGGATTAATTCCAATAGAGACTGGCCCGACCCCCAAACTCCACTTTTTGAGACACAATACCTACGTTGTAGTAAAAATTACATCTTAATTTTATGATGGTATGCACTCACAATTAATAATTAAGAGAAATATCAATAATATTAGTTTTTTTTAACACTTACATTAGTAGAAAAGATGGCTGGGCACACGGGGATGGGGGGTTGGTTCCGAGACAGAGGGCAGGTTATTGGCCCTCACCTGTATCACTTGTATCAATTGTATCACTATCCACCACAGAGGCTTGCAGGGCCTCTTTGTCAAACTCCTCAAAGTCCATATCCTCACTATCACTATCACTGACTTAGGCCGGCTGTGGCGGGTGAAGAACTCGGTAATGTTTTGATGACTGGGCGACCTTGT